GACTTTCTTAATACTATGCGAGCAGTCTTGACTCTTACTTGCTGCTTTTCATCGATGTTATTTAATAGTTAAATCGGATATTTGCGAAGTTACCAACGATCTCAATGAATCCTGACAAAATATCTTATATATAAATCAGTTAATATTAAAACAATTTACTATTATTTTGTAATATTTTTTAGCTTCAAGTTGAGCAATCACGCCGTGGATTTTGGGATAGCTCTGTTTTGTATAATATATCTAGCTTGCATTCCATGTACCCAGTTGTAAGTAAAAGTCTCAATTAATGTTCTAAATTACTTATAAATGAATTTTCAAATCCAGAATACGACATATATTTTTTTAAACTATAACTTCAACACTGTCATATTGCTTTTTGTTTATAATAGAATTTTATACAAATTTAATCATATAGATCACTGTATTTATCTGGTAATGGTTTTCAAATGTTTTAATATATGTATGGGGAAGTAATTGACATTAGAGCTTAATCAGAAAAAACTAAGCAGATGAAAAAAAAAATGTTTGAAATAGTGAGAAAGTCTTACGAAAAACTAATTATGTCTTTAAAAGGCGACATTCCTTACTGCTAGTTATTGATTTGGTAGTATACTTTTTTTAATGGCAATGTTACAGCTGAACTGGACCTTGTTGATTCCAAAGGACTGGAGTGGGCCAATAGTTGTAAGAAATGCAGATTATCTCAAGGCGTTACAATCATTTCTTACAAAGTATCCATCTCGAATTGCACACAATTCTATGCTGTTGCTAAGTGTACTGGAAATTTTACCGAAAGATTTTCCAAGTCCAGAGGTTTGCACACGCTCTACTATGTGGGCCTTGCCAGAACTAGCCTCAGCATTATATATTTCACAACATTCAGCAGTTGATTCAAAAGACATAATAAAACGGGTACATAATGAATATATATCTTGCATTAAATTAAAATTATGTTTTTCAAGAATTTAATTTATAGGCAGATATAATCTTCAAATCGCTCAAAGCTCACTTAAAACGAGCTCCTTCTTTAAAAGGTGCCGCACTTGTAAAGCTGTCGGCATTAAAAATTCAATCAAAAACATGGGAAGGATTCACGAACGTAACCCAGTTATCGAAAGAAATGGATCGCCTTCAAATCACTCCTGATAATTGGCTTGAAAATATTTTAGAGATATATAAAACAAATAAAATTGTTCCCAATAAAATAAATATGGATGCTAGCTCACATGATGCGTAAGTGTTAATACATATAAAGAAATTTAGCTAAGCATTTTTTTTTTTTAGATGGGCATACCCTATTGTATCGACCATATTCTATGATACCTTAAGCCATTCAATTGGTGCGTAATAATAATAGAGTAAGATAATATTTCATAAAATATATTATTAAATATTAACATTCGCAGTTGTTCCTTTGTCGGTCATATTAATACCATATTTCAATGCACGTTTGCCGCCATACCTGCATTATGCTTCAATTGGTGTTTCCATCGCCAAGGAAATTTTACGCTCAATAACGAAAAGTTTTGATGATAAGGCAATGCGTTGTGTACCGCATTCTGTCAACATATTTTCAAACTTTAGTCGTATGGATATATTAATTCATTCTGGAGGAATGCAAATTTCATACCATTCCATGCTGTCACTGAATGGCCCAATCAAAGGAATGGCGCGACTTCCAGGATTAAATTTGACACCAACACAAATTTTTTTTTTGGTTTCTGCCCAAGAACTGTGTTCCGAATCAAACTACCTGGGAATAGATACTAACGCAACTGAATTTGAAAATATGTAAGTATACAGACACTATTTTTAATTGTTGAACATTCTTAAATATTGAATTCACGGTATAATGGTATTGTGAAATTATATTTAGCATGCAAAGGTACACGGCATAAAGTATTTCCGTTTGTATATCCGGTCGTCTGTCCGTCCGTATTAACGCACCGATAACGTAGACCACAAAAGGTAGCGACTTGAAATTTCTATATATATTCTGAATATCAAATTCACATTCTGAGAATTTTCTAATAAAGATTATCTAGAAGAAAAGTTATTCAACAATTCAAATCTCATAGGAATGCCTAATCGCTGTAGCTTCATAAATAAATAATATAATTCGAATATGATCGGAGGGTATCATCAAGTCGGGCACTTTCAACTAACGTACTGTGGTATGTTTTAGGTTAATTAACTTATTCTGTAGGTACGAAAGAGTGTTTCATTAAGTATAATCTGTCTGTAAATTTTGTTCTTATACATTAAATCTCGAATACTAACTTTATTCAACAATTTCGATAACTTGACAACAATTTCAGTCTGTTCCTGAATACATAACCTTTACTTCCTTCGTTAAATTACACTATGTATAGGTGTAATAATTAAAAAAAAAAAATGAATAAACTCAATAGTTTACTAATGTATCTTATACATTTCAGATTAGGTTGGCTTATTGCACAAGGTGGCAGTGCGACAGAGGTTTTTAAATGTCCTTCGGGGTCTATGATCAATATTCAAAAAACTTGTAATGTTCTCTAAAAGCAAAAAGTATATGAAATTAAAAAATAAAATAATAGTATTTTACTAAAATAACTTTAAGAAAAAAAATTTGATTTTAAAGAATTGTGAGATAATATTTTCTAAGGAATCTTCAAATAGAATATTGCAAAAAAAATGGGATGGCTTTTTGGGGGTATGACATATCGAAAATAGCCTGTTTTGGAGCCGTAACCATAAAATTTGACAGTTGCGTTACTATAGACTTCGTATAAAACTGTATATTCAACAGCCTTACAATTAGAATATCGCAATTTAACAAGTAATTAACGTTTGACCTGTTATATATAATTGCCTCTTAAAGGCGTGATAAATCTGAAAATCAAATATGCAGTTTAAAAGCAAGAACTAAAATTTGTATCTGCTTGCACACTCCTTTACCAAAAAAATTAAACTAAAAACGTGGACATGTAGTGCAGTCTTACTTGCTTTTCTTACTTGATTAAATTAGTTATAACCAAATAAAAGCAATCGGAAATAAAATATATAAAATAATGGATAATGAAGGACAATTAGCATACAGACCTGCTGGCATATGCGAGATTCCTTGACATTACTTTTATCTCTAGTAGATTTTAATGTGGTGGTCATATTTTGCAATAGAAAAACAAACACCGTTCACTAGCCCCTTACGGTGATCTGGGTGAATGTTGATTGGCACGTCATCCTTTCCTTTGTTATTTTTGGATATTTCTTTATATTATTCTTGATGATGAAATAATGGTGATTATGTTGTAGTTTATTGTGATATTCTGGGGAGACTGAGTGTTATCCATGGGTATTATATGAAGCCTCTTCATTTTTATCTCGTAATTTATATCGCGATTCAGTCAGTCCGCCTTTGATTGCTTTGGAAAACATAATTTATAACTCCTAAAACGAGCAATGATAAGGGAACTGATTTCCCAGGTTTCTTAGTGATTAATTCAGAATAGTATATTTGTTAGTTGCTATTTCAGAATAGTATTTCTCAGTAGCTATTTCTGTTACTGATACACTCCATTTTTATACCCTGATCCCATTGAAAATGGGAAATCAGGGTATAATGGTTTTGTGCAAATGTATGTAACAGGCATAAGGAGGAGTGGCAGACCCCCCGTATATATATTCTTGATCAGGACTACAAGCCGAGTCGATTGAGTCCTATCCTTATGTGTGAACGCGTGGATCTCAGCATCTATAAGAGATAGACTTAAAAGGTACGTGTATAGCACGCTCATATCAAGTTTGTTTCAAATATTCGATAACTATTCGCATTTAATTGATATAAAATAAAAACATAATTGAAATACAGTTAATAAATTATATCTCGGACGTTTTATGTATATTTTATGCAATTTTGATTTTTGTTGGATTTTGGATACTGGCTCAAAATTTCCCCAAATTCTTAAAATTTAAGTTTAGTTGGATTTAGGGCCATTTCATTAAAATACATTAAGTAAAACAGAAGTTATTAAACAAAACGATTGGCCAATTTGCAAAAGCACATATCAAGTAGCGGCTGGGGTAAGCATTTTTCCTATGCGTGTGCACACATACATTGAAATGCGTGTATTGTTTTCTATTCGAAGAATTGAAATTGCGATTGTGTTGTGCCTAATTATTAGGTGCTACTTAACTTCAAATTTGCAACTGCTCGAGTAACCAGTGCAGTGGCTGCGTTGGTAGAGGCGGCGCTCTTTAGCGTTTTCAATCCTCAAGGCGACGAGACATTAATTATTGTTTTATTTTCTTTTTTAATTATGAAGTGGCGGTGTTGGTAGAGTTGTTGTACGTTGCGTAAACAATCCGGGTTCGAATCCTGGTCTCGTAATGTCGTTTTTTTATTTTGATTCCTTTTTTTTTTTGAATACTCGATACAAACTACGGAAAATATAAATAAACACAATTGCCAGGGAATCTCTGATGAGTGAAAATCTCCTGATATTTTCTGGCGTTCCCAAATATTAATGTATTGATATTGATATTGTATGATCAAATTTTTAAGTGTATTGCTTTAAATCTTTAGCAGATATGGACTTTTGTAGTTTGTCATAGCCCTGAGGGCGTAGATATAGCATCTAATAATTTGACGGTCAGATCCATATTAACTATTTTCGGGGTATTTAGAGGATCTTAACAGTAGCTTCTAAGTTAGTTTTATCTGTTATGCCAGATATAGTATTTCCTGAGTTGCATACTCCCAGAGTATCACAAAACATATTGGAGCAAAATGACATGGACCTGTAGTTATCAGCTATTACAAAAGCATATTGATTACTATCTTATTTTTGACGAATCGACCGACCACATTAAAGGTCTGTTTATTCGTGGAGGAGTTTTTTCTTATAAAATAATGATACTCTTACAGAGTACCGCATAAAATCAACATTTTCAGTCTGTAACTTTAATATCTGTGAAATACTTACGTTGAATTGGAGTATACGATATATACTCTCGATTATTGGGCAAATATATTTCCTATAAATAAATCATAGAAAGCCAAAATAAAATATTGTGTCACATTATAAAATAAATTTATTAATATATAAAGCTGTTTAAAACTCGGTTAAGAAGTCTACGTTGACTTATTGCAAAATTCTTCTTTAATTCATTTAATTAGCTTGCATGACTTTTATATAGTATTTTTTATATTTAAAAATTTATAAATATCAGTTTGCGCTTTTACTCGGTATTAAATAAATAATAAAACATATGCTGAATATTAATTAGATGATTATTATATTCTAAAGTAATTATTAGGTCTCTAAATAATTTGTATTAAAAATATACATTTACAAATAATATTGTAGGTAATATTTGCAGAATGAATATTTTTTAGTAAAATATCTTTTTTAGGTAAAATTGCTAATTACTTTCTTAATTTATTATTCTTTTTTTTTTACCAAAAAGGAATGAGTTAAGGAATAATTATATTGTAGCTTTGGTTCTCAACAAAATGTTTCATAAGTTTTTATGCAATATCTCTAAAGAATTTTAATAATATATTAAGGGTAAAGGTCGCAGGTATTGATTATAATTTTCGTTAATTAATATTATTTTATAAATATAATTTTCGATATAAAATGTATAGGCATGTTTTTCGTTGCATTTTATTTAAGTCCAGCCTTATGCATATACCTTTAAATCCAAAAGAGATTATTGAAAAATATTTAACAAATATTATAGTTAAAAACAAATAAAATGCAACAAAATATATTTACTATTTGATATCCTTTGTGCTTTTTGATCTTAATGAAATATCACGTATGTTTTCACAATTTTTATCATAGTTCTTGAAATACCCATCATACTTGCTAACATCTCTGGAGAACCCTGAACTTGATACCATTGCTGGCAGAGCTCTTAAGAACCCGTATAATCCGGACGGAATAGGCGGCGTTGATGGCACTGATAATCCACATCGATTATATAAAAATGGCATAATTCCAGTAATATTTGTATGATGAGTTAAGACAGCCTCTAAATCTGATTCTTGGGCGTGCATTAAAAATAAACTGTACACGCTGGTTGGTATCATTCCAAAATGGTCAAATGAATCTACGTAGGCTTCGGTATCCCTTTTGTAATTTTCCAAAAAATCACCTAATAATTTAGCTACCATTGCTGATCGCGCTTTACTAATGTTTTGCGTATTTCGAAACAAAACTGGAGGTTTCACACCACCACCATATTTGTTAAGAAACTTTAATATGATTTTTTCATGACTATCTTTTGGGTCTTGAGTTAGTCGTCGTAATACGGACTCTAAATATAAGCTAAACGTTTGACGTGCTTGAAAATGAGTTAATGTGGAACCACTTCCAATTTTCTTAAGTAATTGCTTGCGAAGTCTTCTTCCTTCTTCTTCACATTTCTCTACAGTTTGCTTCTTTAAAAAAGAAATTTCCGAATCCGTTTCCAAAGCCCGTTCGTATTGTTCAATACGGCTTTCTTGTGAATTATCGTCTTTAATGCATCGCGAACCGTGACAGAATAAATTTGAATATAGCATTTGGTTGTAATTATGTTGCGTTACTAATGCTTGAAACGTTTGACCTTGAACATTGGGAGTGGATAGCGGAATGCCATTTGCAGAATCTAAGAACTGTCCGTATCGTTGCATTGTGTCTTCTGTTGGAAATATGCGAACAAAACCTCCACGTCTCATATACTGCAATCGTGCACTACGTAGTATGCGTTGTTCTTCTTGTGTTAAATTAATTAGACCAAAAGGTTTTTTTTTTGTTTTTGTTGATCGAAGTGTAGCGCTTGAATCAGTTGTGTCTACTTGCCTTTGACAACTTGAGCTACGTTGTCGTGCCGATTTGTTGGTATAAAAAGATCTCATTTCTGGACTAAATGCTGGAATGCCAACACAGGTCAGTAAATCAGTAACAAGACAGGCTTTCACTTTAGTATCCAAAGGACTATCAACACCCATTGATGGCGAAAGGTTAACTTCCAATAACCAAGGTTTAAGAGTATTATCGATTAATATATCGAAACCATAGAGTTCAAAACAGTTGTTTGCATTAGGTACGAACATTCTACACGCGGAAATAATTGTTTGAGCACAGGCAAGAACAGCTTTAATTATCAAATCTTCAATGTTTAACATCAGTAGATGAGTATCACATCCTTGAAGTTTAAGATGTCTTAAGAGTGCAGACAGGGTCCATTTATGACCAACATCCTCCTCTTGAGCATCCGATGATCTTATGTAATCAGAATGATATTTGTTGATGCTATAGTTACAAAGGTGCATGCACGGATTCCACAAGTTATCAGTGTTTCTATCATACCTAACAGTTGCCAATCTGACTATACCCTCTTCATAAAGATATATAATTAGAGGATCAAACGATGTAACCAATACATAAACTCTTAAGTCACACTTATGACCATCAATACAAAGTGGGTCCACGATATATTTGGATACTAATACTTGTTCGTCCTGTGGTATTTGATCTGGCTACAAGCAAAATATTTAAATTATAGTTTTTTTTTTCAATAAATATACAACACTATTTTACCGAATTTACAATAAATATTCCACGTCCTCTACTTGAAGCTGCTGGTTTCACAATCCAAGGTCCTCTTTGTTTATTGTGAGCAAATAATAAATCACGCGATTCAAGCGGAAGAATAAAAGATTGGGGCACAATGTCAAAATGTTTCATTCCACGTAAGTGTTGCATTCGTTCAATGTTTTTGTAAAGTCGGTCTTTTCGTGTTAGTTCATATGATCTAAATTGCAACAATATTAATTAATTTCTTATTTTTATTATAAAAAAATATGGTGAATAGATTACAACTAAATTAAGGAATGACTGATTCCTTCTTTTTCGTTATAGTTAGTATATAGTATAATTAACCCTAGTTTTCAAGCTTTCTATGCCAACGCACTGTAGGATCCCTGTTGGCAAAACGTTTTGAAGTTACACATTTTGATAAAAGCAATTGGCTAAATGAATTATAGAGTTGAATAGAGAATCAGAAGGCCTGAAACCAATATATTTTCATTTGGCTATAAGTTTATGCGTCCCATTGTGTAACGTTTAAGGCACTAATTTATGAAATATCGAACATCCCCGGTATATAATATAGGATATACCCCCAACTATGTGAATAGCTCCTATTTCAATCATTATACAATATACATGAATAACTTTTTGCCTATATGGATTTTATGATCAATTTTATAGCATGATATTGATGTCCATATGTATTCCAGAATTAGCAGCTATACTGCAGGCCAAGCCCAGCCGCTTAGAAAAGAAAGACTATCTAAAAAAAGTTATTCAATAATTGAATTTCCATAGCAAAGCAGCAGAATGCGTGCTTTTAGTATTGCGTGTACGTGTATGTAAATACATTATTTGCTATATATTTTAAAAAGTAAGCGGATAATAATCAAAATAGAAGATGTTCGCAGGGTTTTGAGCCAACTAGGAGATCTTGTCGGGATTTGCCAACTATTACAATTACTATTACTTGTTAAAAAATATATTTATAATTCTTATAACCAATTAAGTAAAATGGAGTTGTGACTGCAACATATTTGCTTACCTTGGAAAATGGTTAACTCGTTGATACAGCGCTAAGTTGCGTAAGGTGTCAAGTTTCATGTGAACTCCAGTCCACAACAAATTAAAATCTGATTCGCTCTGAACTTCGGTTAAGCCATGAACATTGAAAATCTTTCTCAATAATTTTGTTTCTGTTTGAATAAATTTATACGTAATTTGGAATTGATGTGCAGGCATATTTACTCCACAGTCATTATCTTCCTCACTAGATGGATCTTGATCTTCTTCGCTAGTGGTACTGTCAGTATTGGATTGAGAAGCCATTGTGGAATCATAGCCACTTTCCTTATTTAAATTAGATTCAATTTCGACAACTGAAATGTGTTGTTTTTGTTTTGTTCTAGGCTTCTTTTCAATATACTTCGTTGTTTCATCTCCGTCACTTGAAACAGAAGTATCACATGAAGAATATGAATTAAGCGTTGCTTTAAGTTGATTTCGCCGATCGCTGCAAATTGGCAATTTTTCAACTGACACATAAGTGCTCGAAGAAGACGTAACCTCTCGATTTTGAAGATCAATTCGTATCGACTTTGCTTCTCGTAAAGTCTTTCTAGTTTTTGGATTAAGTATATTAGTGCGAAAAACTAATACCGCATCACGAGAGCCCATTTTTCCACTGGTAACCCAGTCATCCTGATTCATGTAATTAAAACTCTTTTCACTATAATAAAACAACAAAAATAGTATTCATTTTTAGTATTCTTTTAACATATCCATATAATTTAATAGTTTATGGCATAAGAAATAATATATGTGTATGTCTTTAAATGTATAAATAAAATCTCAAATACAAAAAAAAATACTATATACAGTTTAATACATAAAGTTCCTGGATTAAGCAGACATGACAAGATTAAAAACGCGTAATTAAAACTCTTTTCACTATAATAAAACAACAAAAATAGTATTCATTTTTAGTATTCTTTTTACATATCCATATAATTTAATAGTTTATGGCATAAGAAATAATATATGTGTATGTCTTTAAATGAATAAATGAAATCTCAAATACAAAAAAAAAAATACTATATACAGCTTAATACATAAAGTTCCTGGATTAAGCAGACATGAAAAGTTTAAAAACGCGTGTGGATCTGGAATTTATATTTCAGATTTTATACTTTAAACCTATTGAAGCCATGCAAATTCAGGGTATAATATTTTTGTGAAAATTATGCAACAAGCAGAAGGAAGCGTGGCAGACCTCCTTAGGACGGCTTAGTCGATGATGCCTTTTTCGTCTTTTCGATAAATCTTCCCATTTTCTTCGCATCGATATTTTAACCGTATCTTGAATACCGTAAATGTTGGAGACTTTAGATTAGGCCCCTGTAATGAACACCAGGATTTTATTATCAAAAACCTTAAATATACAAAATCTCTGTATTAATTTAAGAAACCTACACATTAAGTCTAAAGTATTCAACATTTACGGTATTCAAGATACGCTTAAAAGATTAGTCCAAAATGATCGATTTTTTTCGACCACGTCTCGATCTGTATGATCTCTTTTTAAATGGATTCAGGGTATACAAATTGTTACCAACCTAATATATTTCTGAATTGGAAAAATTATATCTCAGAAACAACTTACCCAGAACTATTATGCGCGTCACACAAGGAGGCAGGCATTTCTGGAAGAACAAAAGAAAATCAATTAACATAATTGTTGATAGTGTTCGGTAAGCTGAAAAAGTTGACATGCATGATGAAGGTAGATCATATTTTCCTATTATTAATAACAAGTGATAATTCGATTTCGAGTTTCAAGCTCCAAAAAACATACAAAAAGCTATACTTGTAATAACCAGATTTGCGCAGGATTTTTTCGGTTGTGACGAAAAAGAGTTGTCGTTCATGTAAAATAATAACTCGGAAGTCCAGCAAGCTGCTCACAGCTAGGCACTATCACTGATTTACCGATGTGAGAACTGTAATGGCTTCTTTTATGATAGAAGAGATATAAAAAATGACTGTAATAATGCGTAGCTTGGAAATATTGTTAATTTTATAATTTGCAATATATGGCATAATACGATTGATTGCTTGAAAATAATGTATGCGAAATTTACTAGCCATACATTAACGTTATAAATAATTAAGATCAACTTATAGACGTAATTGATCAATTCAATCGAAATAACTAAAATGAAAAAAAAAAACAAATTATTATTAAATTATATATCTGGATGGGAAAATCGTATTTAAAATATCAGAAATATCACGATCATTGTTATTTTTATACCATCCAAGGAAAAATGAGAACGGTAAATCATAAGATTTACGCTTCGAACAAATTGCCGTTTGCAACCTACAGGTATATCAACCGAGTCATATAAAAGAGACCAATCAGTTTCATTTATAAGCTTATAAAGCAGATCAAAATTTCATTTATTGTTTTGAGGGAATTAAATATTAAAAGAAATCAGTACCTCTATACTAGTAGGATGCCATAAATCCATAGTAATTGGACGATATAGCAATAGTAATATCAGAGTGGTCTTTAATAAAAAAAGTAAAAGATTCAGATTATTTGAGATTGAATTCAACTGAAACTTATGATGAATTGTTGAAATAAGTCAATTTTAATTACGAACTAAGGACTTTCGTATATTACAATCATCCAACACGACAAATAAGCAATAATCATTTAGCGTGTTAATTGCTTAAACAGCAATTGGAGACGATTTTAATTCAAACAAAAGGCATATCGCTGAAGTGTTTACAATAACAATAGAACATGGGAATATAGATGTGTTTCTGGTAAGCGGAATTAACACCCTCTAGGACAGGACAACGATGATAAAGTAACCGACGGTAAAAAAGGCGATACTGGCACGGGAGGTGGAACCTGTAGCGATTGAATCTCCATTTAATTGTTAGAAATAAATTATTTATAATTAAAAATAATTAATATTTTTTGAAATTTTAATAATTAAGCCTCCACAGAATTCTACATTTTGGAAAAATTAATTTGTTAGTTGAAAACAATAACAATAACAACTTTATTAGTAGACATGCTTATGTGGCACTCACGCCCTAACATAACACAGTTTGTACCAGACATTATAAGTCATATTGAATTTATTACGGCCCTAGTGAGTGTGTAGACATATAATTTTTTTCTTAAACTAATTTTTGGGTTTTATATATACCACGCCCCAAATGGGCGTAGATATATCTTTTAGATGCGGATTATTTCTATATTTCAAATTTGATACGTATTCTAGGAGTATCTATGCCCGAAAGGGGCGTGTCAAGCCGCAAATCTACATATTCTACAATTTTAAAGCTAAACAGTTTTAAAGTCATAAATTAAGTTGCTGTTGACCCGAATAAATTATTCTTTATATTTATTAATTTTAATATACAATAAAATCGAAATTGTATAAAATATACATAAGACTACAAAATTTCAAGAGTCAGACTCTCATATATATAGACAGACAGTCTGTCTGTCTGCTCAGTTCGTTGTCCTGAACAAAAATATATATATATACATTATGGGGTGTAATAAAACCATTATACCATGATCTCATTTTCAATGGTTTCAAGGTATAAAAAAGACATCACTATGAAACACGTCACGCTACTGGCCAATTGTCAATATCTGAGCTTGAGACACTAATGCTATCAATCAATCTTATAAATATTAAGGTTGTAAGCCCTGCCATTCTCGATTTTCCAGATTGAAATCAATCAAATTCTTTACCACTCTTTAAAAATAAAACACTTTCTATCTATATTATATTTTTATCCTGATTTCAGTTAAGTTTCGTTAGTTTGTAACAAAATCACTATCTTTTCTGAGGTATTATAACAGAATCCTATCATCGGAACTGCACTGCTACGGTCACATAAACATTCGGAATAGGACTACAATTCATGAGCACAACAACTGAATTCTGGAGGCACCGTAAATTGCAGCACTCGTCTCAATCATCTTAAGCTATTACAAATGGTAAACGACGAGATTATCATAAACAAGTAAGAAAAATCTAGTTGGGGTGTCCGATAAGGGGATACTCTGATCCCAGTCCTATCTGGGTCTGTTAATATTTTCCGTAGTTTGTATAGAAGAGTATTCAAAATAAAAACAAATAACTCACAATTTCTACGTAACTGGCATCAACTCTACCAACATCGCCACTTCACAATTAGTAAGTAAAACAATAAAAAATATCCCATCGCCGCCAGGCTCGAATCCAGGGATCAACCGCTTACGATCGCCACCTCCACCAACGCAGCTAAAGAGTTGCAAATTTGAAGTTAAGTAGCAGCTAATAATTCAGCACAATTCAATCGCAATTTCGATTCTTCGAATAGAAAAGAATACATACATTTGAATGTATGTATGTAAACGTTGATATATATATTAACTGCATGTCAATCAAGTTTTTATTCGATAACAATTAAATGCGAATAGTTATCGAATATTTGAAACAAACTTGATAAACGCGTGATATACACAGACCTACAAAAAAATTGCATGTGTCTAGCTCTTATAGAAGCTATGAAGGAAAAGAGAAAATATCCATCCTGTTTTTCAAAGCCTGTGAATGATGCTGGACACAAAAAAAATCCGAGGCGTCCTTGGTCTTTGGACATCGACAAAAATCCAACAGTGTAGCCTACAGTCTACGGCTTTTTGTACCCTAATCCCATTGAAAATGGGAATCAAGGTATCTTCAATAAGAATCCTTATTGAGAGCCTGAGTAAAAACAGGGACGACTATTATCTTAGTGAGGGAAGAGTTGACGCGTCTTATTAATTATGTGAGTGGTTTCAACAAAAAATATGTGTCATCTAAGTTCATCACGCTGCCTTCCGAAATATATACCGTTAGCACGAACTTCTATATCGGCAAACATAGATCACTGGGCTAGTTGTGTTATACGAACACAGCTTTAAATTTAAAATGGGCAAAGTGTCGAAACTACATAAGATAAGAACAACTTTAATCAAAGCCTTTTAACTTTACTATACAAGTGTAATGAAATACAAAAACCCCGTGCTATCAACATATTCAATTGCTTAAACTAAAGAATTTTATTTTTCCAACAAATTTCATCGTAGCTTATTTAAAATATATTTATACACACATGTATACACATGCATATACATATATATATATATATATTATGTACATGATTATAGTATACATTTACTAACATTAGGCTTACAAATACTTAAAAATTAAAATTGATAGCATAATATGCATCCAGTGCTCCATTAAATCCAGTTAGTCTTCCTTCTAGTGCTCATCAAAGTTCGATCAGATTGAACAATGTTGCCATTATTGGCTTATTTCACTTTTCAATTTATATTTACTATAAAGTCTTGATTTCCTGTTGTCAAATTGATCGCGATCGTTTCGATGTACTGCGAGTCTTTCCCGTTGTGTAAAATTTCAATTTGTGCCGGCTTTTCAAGTTTTATTAAATTTGTTCGACTCATTTACAGATATATAATTTTCACTAGTTTTCATAATGTGCTTATTGTTATATATTATGCTTAAATTACGCGTTTGCTCACAATGTCAAGACATGAATGAAGTAATATTTAAATTATTGATCCTTCCTTAAGATGACATCTCAATATGAATTTCGTTTATTTGTGGCAAAGGCGATTAATGATTATTTCCGTTATTAACAAAGCTAGTTGACGTGGTTGTATTTCGTTGCTTCTTTTTTTCCATAATAGAATAATCTTGAAAAATTTGTTCAAGCTGTTCATGATTTATAGTGGTTTTCCCTTGAGAAATTAAAGAAGTAGCTAATTTGGAAGCAAGTTCAGTTTTATCAAAGCGATCCTGAGCATTTAGCCTACCATGAGACTCTTTTTCAATTATATTTCTATTAGGCTCAGTTTTGCTGTTTCCCAATTCTGTCCGTATAGTTGTTGAAAAATGTAGTAATTGTTCAGTATCATTGATTGCCTTTTTTAGGGCACGTTCTTGCGTTGGATCTAAAATGTTGGAAATTATTAGTCCTGTAAATTTATCTTTTGCTGCTTCTAAGATAGAACAGTTTTTACTTGTAAGAAGCAAAATATTTGCTTTATCTGGATTTAATTTGGAAATTTTTAAGGCCTTAGCTAATAAATCGGTGATGGTAGGTCCCAAACTTCCCAAATAATCCTCTAGTGCAGTTAGAAGACGTAGTACATGGATAATATTTATATTATTTGTATATTTATTCAATTTTATTTTAATATCATCGTCATTTCTGATGGGTTTGTCTAATTTCAATAGATTTTCAGAAATGTGAACATGATATTTTGAGTTTGATAAATAATCATTAGTCATTGGCAAGCATAACCTTTCACGGCACTTTATTTTAATGCTTTCAACATCTTGATTATAGAGTTCTTCCAAACGAGCGTTAAAAAATTGTATCCATTCGTTTTGATAATTATATGATCTATGGTTTATGCCAGCAGCTATAAGTTCATCTTTACGCCGCTTCCAAAAACTTTGCCACTCTTCTCTATACATGGGGTGTTCTTCGGGATCTGGTATATATATTTCATAGTTTTGGTTTAAGTCGCGCACACTATGGTCAACTAAATGTCTATAAGCTTGCCAAATATCATCATCTCGTAATGGGGACAGCGACTTGCGTTCGACATTCCATTGGGGTATTATTAAATTATTTGAACGTATTCGTTTTCGATCAGGTGAGTTTGACTTTGATCGACTACGTTTAGAAATTCCAGACGGTCGTCTACAAAATCGCGAAACTTGATTTTGCCTAGTTTCTCTTAAAAACATATCAACCATTAATTTGTGAGTTTCATCATCGACAGTCTCTGTTCTACAGTCATCATTGAAAGATGGATGGCTAGCATAATTATATATAGCATTTTGATTCATAGTTATATAATTTGATCGGTTAAAATTATTAGGTAACACCTCGTTATTACTTTCATTAGGCTTAGTAATTTGAAATTTACAATTTGTGGAATTTTCAATCAATAATTCCACATCTTTTAAGTCTATTATATGCGTGAACACAGGACCGAGCAATTCCGATGCATGTTTCCGATTAAAAACTGTTGATACAATATTTTGTTTATTTTTCGAAAACGGGTATTCGTAACAATAATAAACAGTCCCGCGACCATGATATTTCTCAATAGATTTTGCCAATTTGTCTAATATTTGTGGTAGTATTTTAAAAACTTGATGTTCAGGAATATGTGAAATGTATTGCCTATACTGCCGTACGGCTGTCGGGAAATGTTTTTCACAATATGTTAAACGGTGACTATAACTTAGTATATGGTTATGCATTATTATCTCATCAGTGGTAATATTACATAAGGTACAAAAAAATTTAGCAGCTTCATCATTAAAGTTTCTCATAATTTTGATTACGTACTCAATTCCGAGAAATCCCAAGATTTCAGTTACAGTTGACGTTGATTCAAAAATTGAATCACAATTAGATATATGTTGCGATGTAGCCGAGTTTTGGGATTGTACATTTTCCGGCTCAAAGTGCTTAGTAATTATGTCCAACTCGTATTTTTTTTGTTCTTTTTTGTGGTTAGAAATTTCGATTGGCATTATACGTGTAGAAATCTCTTCAATAGTCTCCGAATTTTTTTCTGAAGAATGGCTTAAATATATTAATTTTGATATTGGAACGCAAGAAATTGTAGTATTTTTTGATGATGTTGGAAGCGCATTTTTTACAATATCAGGACGTAGAGACTTAAGACCAAATATAGAAACTATTTCTTTATTACTCACTTTTTCCAAAATTGTTTGAGCATTTTTGGCAGTTTCATCAATGTGATCAATTTCTTTTTGTAAAAGGCACGTCTGTTTATTATTATATTTAGAATATTTTGAATTAACACTTTCACAATTTACATAACTGTCTTGAATTTCTTGAACTAACTTTTTATGAAATTGATTTGGAATAATAGCTTTTACAGTACTGCTATCAACGTCTACTGATCTTCTATTTTGATCAATATCAGACATTTTTGATTTTCCAATCCCTTCATTGTTATCTGAGAATTTAAAATTGGTAAGATTTGCATATGCTTCTTTTATGGATTCAATACCAGTAGATACACATCCATAATTTTTTTCACTTTTACTTTTTTGTACTGGTCTATTCAGTTTAGTAGAGCCTGATTGATTCTTTGATATATACATTTCATTGACTTTTGCTTTACCTCTTGAACATCCAACAGTGTTAGATACTCTCAATACTTTTACGGTTTTATAATTATTTGTTAAACTCTTAAACTCAGGGATGTTATTATTAGGAAGGTATAATTGCTTCACCGATTCCATTTTCGAAACATGTCTCTTCCCACCAAGATGACTTATTAAGTTCTTGTCTCCATATTGAACAACTTTGCAAACATTGCATAAATACATTTTCTTCAATTCGTCTGCACAAACAACAAGTTTTTCTAGCTTGTTTACGTTTTCAGTCCAAAATTCAAGTTTCATCACCTCTTTTAGAGATAATGTTGTTAACAGTTTTGAAAACTCTGTTTTATCAAACGTTTTTTTATTTTTTGTAGCCATTATTTATGGTAGGCGGATAACGCAACATGAGGAATTAGTGTAATATCTGCTTATGGTCGACGTTTTAATAACTATATATAAATGTAGTTGTTGTGATAAGTATTTATGGCTATAAAATTAAAGGAAAAAAACATGTATTATAAAATAAGACATGTAATACACATACATAAAAATTTGTATATAGATCTTTTTAATTTATGGAATATTTTTGGTACTTATCTAAAAGTAACGACATATAGAAGTGAGTATGCAACCGCGAATCCAGTAAAACTATTTTCCGTTAAGTTAGGTTATAATGGGTAACTGCACAGAGTATTTAAGTTAAACTGTTTTACTGAGCTACGTGTTGCCTGTTCATTAACTTCGATTTTTGTGAAAATCTACAAAAGAATAGATGACGCTTCTAGAATCAAATTCAATATATGATAGCGCATCTCTGTCGTAATAATATAATTTTTGAACGCATCAGTCAGCTAAGTTATATGCCTAACAGCTTGACTTGCATTAGATACAATGTTTTCATTGGACTTCAAGCTCTCTCTCAACATTTGTGCGATTTAGCAATATATCATTGCAGTGTGATTTTGATTTTCATCGTAGTTCTTTAGTCGAGAATGATCGACAAAAAAAACCTTTTATATTATTATACAGAGTAAAAAAATTGTGCTGTTTCCAATAAAATTCAATAGCTTTTTAAGAGCAGGTTGTAAACTTGCAATGAATACACAAAATATTTTACAGACTTTAGATCATTATCACGCTCTAAACATTGGATAAAGAACATCCATCTCGAAGAAAAGTTATTCAACAACCAAGTTCCGATAGTATGGCCCATGCTGCAAACTAAGCTCACACAGTTATATAGTTACAAGAAAAAGACAACACAGCTGTACGTTACAGATAACGGACACTAAAAAATGAAATTGAATTTGTAAAATTTAGGTCTTTAGCACTTATAGGTGCTGAGATCACGCAGTCATACAGACGGACAGGGCTAAATCGACTCTGCTTCTTGTCCTGGTCAAAAACATATATGTTTTTTATAAGGAGGGAGTTGGAGATATAATTTATTAACTGCATTTCGATTTGGGGTTTATTCTAACAATAAAACGGTTAGTTATCGAATATTTGATCAAACTTAATGTGCGCCTGCTATACAAGGACCTACAAGAAAATTTCATGTCTCTAGCTCTTATAGAAGCTAAGATCGACGCGTTCACACATACGGACAGATGGGTGGACAGACGGACAGGGCTCAATTTATTCGGATTTTCGTCCTGAGGAGGAAGAATATATATACTTTATGGGGTCTGCCACGCCTCCTTCTGCCTGTTACATACATTTGCATCAAGTCATTATACGCTGATTTCCAATTTTCAATGGGAACAGAGTCTATTCATTAACATTAGTCTATTCCGGACAGCAAATAGTATCAATAAAAAACTAAATGTAATTCTGATTAGCTTTTTAAAGTAGATCACATTCTATTTAAAAATAAGACTACTTTTTGTTTTCATCTTTCGTGAAATTGAACATTAAAATAACATAATAGTATTACTATATTTAATGATAGTACAAGTTTTTTTATGTTATGCTTAAAATAAAGAATTAAGGAACAAACCCGATCATAAATTTCAATGGGAAAAAATCAATAAGTCATTACAAATTACTCAGATACTCTATAAAGTATGATGCAATTACCTCAAATATAATATACAATTATTCACAGATATATAAGCCTAAATTGAATAAATTATTTTCAAATTTTGCAAAATCCTAAATTTTATTCAGACCCCGTATTTGCATATATCTATCAATAAGTCAAAAGAAATAAATAAATTGAGTTTGTAATTATACAGACAAAATGTTATTAAATGTAGATATACTGCAAAGGTTCTTAACGTGATAGTGCTGAATCCGATTTCTCCACACCTTTTCTTTGACCATCGTTTGGCAAGTCCCTTTGGACAAGCGATATCTCGCTGAGAAATATATATTTATTAAGAATATAGGTCGGCTACTTTTGTTTTCAATTTTAAAAGAAAAATTCATATGACATTGTATAGATATACACATATTCAAAGACATATGTAAGTACACTGTTTATAATTGTATACAAAACCGTTAAATAGTGTTGCTACGCATCGCAAGCATTTCGGCTGGTAGGAAACACAAAGGCATGATGTCATACAAAACTAATTGATTTTATATGATTATACATGATTCTAAACATCTATGTTTACTTATGTTTATAGGTACATATATAAAAAGCTGCATAATTTAAAATGATTGTCACAGTTATAGATATTAGAGTAACTCACCGGTGTTCAATTTTAAGTTTTCCAAATGGATTTTCAACTGGAATTTTAACTGGCTGCAAAGTCCCAGCAATTTTCGGCGATTGATTTTGTATCTTTCTCAGATAGAGCGCTTCAAAATTAAATTTACTAATACAATATGATTCTAATGTATCTGTAATTTACAAAAGAAAATAAATCTACCGAAATATGTATATCTTCTACATATACGTACATTAAATTTTTAATCTATTAGCGTTCTAACACCTGAGAAATTGCTCAGCTTAAATTTAAATTTCCACAGAAATTTGCAAAAAAAACTTAAATTTGTTATATGCACTGCGACGAACGACTAAAAATTTCGACCACAACGAATCAAATAAAAATATGTTTTTTTTACAAAAATGAGTGATGTGCATAATACCGATAGAAAAACCATTGGTACAATAATTTTTATTGTCTAGTTCATTGCTATCGATATAAACAATCATGCTAATATCAATAGAAATTTGACCTTTTCGATAAATAAGCCGCTACGATTATATTTACATTAGCTCTTATTTACAATTCCGTAATTAGTCAATAAAGGTGTAACTGTTGTAACGCCTAGAGGAGACGTCTATAAACATTTTTTAACAGAAAATTTTTATGCAGTAGGTCCAGTACGATTTTGGGTCTCTTTCTATCACCCTCGTTCTGAATATTTTTTTTACTCTCTGGTGTGCACTCAAATTGAAATTATAACAAAATACTGCCAAAAACACGAATAACGAAAAAATTTAAATATTGTGCTAAGTAAACAGATAAAAATTAAATGCGTAGTAGTTTAACCGCCAACTTAAAATCAAATCACTCAAGGCTGGTTGAAGCTTTAAATTTGTATATATTATAAATTACCTATAATTTTATATAATTTTTCAAAATTTTTGTTCCGACAAGTTGGAATCGATTATTTAGTCCACAAGCAGTAGTTTTTATTTACATATACTAGGGAAACAAACCGAATCCCATCCGGCTTAGCATATACAGATAATTTTTAGAACTTGACATTTTGAAGTCTTTGTTCTTAGTCATATATTAAGCTTTACGTCGTCAAATGTTTTTGGTTCATATATATGGCCTCACAATCATATGATATAGTTCCCAGTGTTTCCTTCCAGTGTTAACTTTTAACGAAAACTTACACCTAATTTCGTTCAATTCAAACATTACTCGATAACCGACAGACATCAATAAAACTAGTTCATATCAAAGGAATTGGCAGCAGTGGCACGAATGTTGCCCGAAGAAAGAAATTAATCTTTTTATAATTTTGTCATCTTTAAAGAAACGCGTATTTTTTTTTTAATATTGCAACATGGAAAATTCCGGCAACAACCGCTATGAGTTATTATTTATGGATGATGAAACGGTTGCCGCCGCTGTTCCACTTAAACAAAATGCCGGGACCGGCAAAAATAAAAATGAAAATACTGTACAGTCGAAGATCATTAAGCATGAAAAGGAAAACAAGATAAATACATTAAATAAAAACAACTTAAAAGTTGCTCATTCAAGTACCAGCCCAAAGGGAAATATTAAAACTGTTTCGAATGGTATCAAAGAATTACGTACTAAAAATGTTAGAATGAACGGTTCAGAAAAAATTCATTCTAATATACAAGAGTATAATAATGAGCTTCCACAACGCCAAATTAGAGATCGTGATAATAAGGCTTCACGTTTCCGTGCCCATGAAAAATTCGGAAAGCGAGAATTTGACCGTCAATCTGGTTCGGATAAAACAGGTAAATATTAAAATATATCTGCTTACTAACACATGTAAGATGCTATTATCACCATCAGGAAATGGTTCGATCAATTGCATAAAATTTGCGGATGTGTGTTCTTTTATATGTATGCTCAGCACTTTTAAGAAATACAGAAAAAAGAGATTCCCAAATACCATTTTTGTTGTTGGGTACACAAGTACCTTGATATAAGCTCAAGATAAAAAAACAAAATTGGACATAGACCATTAAAGTCAATGGTCGATAAATATCATTGTACCTACATGATATTTTCGTGAAATGTGTGTTTAAATAATATAATAATAATAATTTCTATTTACTTTTGAATTATATATATTTTTAAGGGTAATAGCTTGTAAAATCAATACAGTTTAACATTTTTACGGATTCATATTGAAAAATATCTATTTTGTTGTAGGTATTAAGTCTGTTGATAAACGCGACGGAGCTGGTGCACACAATTGGGGATCTGCTAAACAAGATATTGAAGAACTTAAATCAGGCACTTCAGCTCCTGTAACAGATAAAGAAGACTCTGCAAATGAACAGTCTGGCGAACCTACAAATAATTTGGAAGAAGATGAGTCGAAGCAAATGACTCTTGATGAGTGGAAGGCCCTTAAGGATCAACGTGCTAAGCCTAGTTATAACTTGAGAAAAGCCGGCGAAGGCGTAGATAATTCAGAATGGAAAAAGATGACGGTCTTAAGCAAAAAAAAGGGAGCAGATATTGAAGATGAATTGGAATACGATCCATCAATGTATCCCCAGCGCGTAGGTCGTATACAACGCCTTGTAGACATTCAGTTTAATTTTAATGATGGAAGAAAATCTGGATTTCGTAAGGGACCACGACTACCTGCGCGTGGAGGTCATCGAGAAGAATCAATAACCAACAGCGACTTCGAAAAAATTCCGTCTTATAAATTTGCAAAACAACATCGCACAGGATCAAAAAATTTTAAAGTAGATGATGAAATTCAATTTCCCACTCTTTCTTGAAACGCAACTCCAGCTAGCAAGTTTTTTGAAACACGTTTTTAGCGACTAATGAAGGTTATTCATTTTGCCGTACAAAAATAAATACGTACTTTACTAATCAAATCAGCTTTGCTAGCCCAAATTTTAGAAGTTATATAAAGGAAGTTTGAATTATTCACAGCAGTTATGATAAATAAGCTATTGGAAATAGCTTAAAATGTTGAATCAATTACACTTATTTTTAATACTTAATATCCCGGTATCCACATGAGGGTTGAACCATTTAAAATATATTGAATGCTATGGAAGAAAATACAAAATCCTGTATGAACAAGAAATTGGCAAGTTGAAACTAATAAACTAATAAAATTCAGCTTTAAAAAATCATTGCTACTAAAATTTTACTTTCACGAACATTTTTATCGACGAAGAATTTCTCTCCAACGATTTTTAAAAACCCTTAATTTTGTAATTATGATAATTCCATCAAATTGACATGTAAATATACAAAAAGAAGAGGTTCTTAAGATGTATCTAAACGTTCTAAACTTAAAAGAAGCATACAGAAAGCTCACTTTTAACACTGCAAACTGTTAGATGGAGCCTACTTTAGCCTTAACATATAATACACGTAAATATACATAAATAAGTTCAAAATAAGCTAGTTTCCCCATTTTGAAAAATTCTCAATGATTTGCAAATAATAGATTTAATAGTCGCTATACCTTCGAAAAATTAAAAAATGAAATAAAATATATTTGAACACATTTGACAAAACAAAAATAATATATTGTACAGGAAAATCACATTGGAATTCCAATGTTTGATATGGAAACCACTTAGTACTAAATAAGAATATATTGGGGGTACATATTACATTTTCAATTTAAATCAACGGTTCAAATAAAATAACTTTAATTTTTCTCCAGTGCCACTTTTCCTGACAAAATATATAGATTTGGCGAAATTGCCGATGTTGCATATGTATATTTAATTTAAAATCATAAAGTATGCTATGAAATTATGTTATTCGATGTTTCTTTAGCTTGAATCTCTGGAATTTGTAAAGTTGTTGCATACTTTTCGACCGATAAAATAAAATCTTCGATATCAATCATTATAATTGAATGTAAATTTATGGGCAAAATACTTAAACAAATTACAAATTCATTTTCGAGAGAATTGCGTGCAGTACAATTAAATCAAAGCATATACATGTTTCTGAGGCACAGTAGGAATTATTTTTTATAACTCAGCAGAATGTGTAATATTGTATAGTTATTTCATTCAATAAAAAAATATATAATCTGATGCAATTTACGCTGAAACATAAATTGTATATATTTGAACTTAAATGATATAAAATAAGAGATTTCTATTAACATTTTTATTTACAAATACTTTAATAAATTCGAAATCTTATCGAATAGGCACTCTTAATTTTACCATTTTTGAATTTTGATCGAAAAATGGTAAATTGGATCAATTCACAAAACCTTTTAAAATTCTTATTTACTAGCTGGTCCTTTTGTCCCGTTGTATCGCCTATTATGAGCATACATTATTTTCCTTGTATATTAAAAGTAACCTTTTAATTCAAACAACTTTGTCATATACTTTTTCACGAACTATTAGTTGCAATTATATATGGAAACAAATGCAATTTATTTTTATTACTGGTTACTGTTCGTATTGTCTTTTAATATCTAAAATAAATTCATTTAACCTATCAGATAGGTATATCTCTTTTTTCGAATTTCTTTTACCAATATTCTTCAAATCCGTTTCGAATTTTATCTAAAAAAATTAAAAATTCTATTAAAGAAGCCATACTGATAATTGTAAAATGTGTACTTACATTATATTTATATTCTGGAGAAGTAGATTCTAGCATTAAAATTCTGTTCTCTATATTTTTGATGCGATTATAAATATTGTCATCGTCGTCCGGTGTTATATGCATATAATCTTCAATATTTTGTAAGCGTGCGTTCCGCAGTACTTTGCATTTAGCTGCTTCATACTGGTCGTTTTGTCTAGTCATTAGTTTATTTAATTGGAAGGAATAGTTTGGTCGTACTTGCGGTCCACTATTATAAGTCGCGCGACAGACTACAATAGTATAATTAGCAAATTTTTGGAATGACACTTAAAAAATGTTGTTTTGATCTCATATATGTATATGTCCTTACCCTTTAAATGACCTTTTGATTGTTGTTGCTTTACAAGGAAACTTTGGGTGCGAGCACACGAATCTTTTCCTACTATCGACTCTAGGAGTGCAGGATCTGTTGTTTGTTGTCTGAAGTCAATTATATTGTAGAGATTAATTTCATCCCGTTTCCTTTTTAAGAAACATTTTACTCGTCGGTTCAACTCGCTGTCATTAACTTTGATTTGTACTAGCTTATTATCAGAAATATTATCTATTTGGTGCTCAATTTTGCAAGAAGAAAATTCGAAAGTTCTTGAAGATGTTTCGGAAAATGCTGTTAAAATTAAAGGAAGAAAAATAAAGAAATAAAAATTGTCTTCCACATTTATGCTTATATGACAATAGCTTTATCTATTACAAATGAAAAAGTTATAGTTTCTTACGGGGCCAAGGGCACTCCATATTTGCTTTCCACTCTCCGATTAAATCATTTTCATATATTTCTTTTTTCCATATAGGCACACTCGACTTAAGCTTATCTATAGCAAAGCTAACCGATTCCAATGCGGCTTTTCGATGCGGTGCAGAAACGGCAATTACTATACTTTCTTCGGTTACAGGAACGTTTCCCAGTCGATGATATATCGCAATATGCTTAACATCTGGCCACTGCACCCTTAGTTCTGAGCAGATCTTACCCATTTCCTTTAAAGCCATATTTTCATACGCTTCATATTCTAATGATATTACCTGTAAGCAAAATATAAATTTTTGATAAGTCTCTATAATTTTACTTACAGTATTTGCTTATATAAAATTCCAAGAATAACGAAATAGAACCTACATCAATTTAGAAGCCAAATGTGTGTATATAAAACAAAGTTGGATTTATTATTTATGTTCATTTGACGGATTTAAAAAGATTAATAAATCAAGAGTGTCCTGGTAGAGACTGCTCGAATAGGAGATACCCTGAAGAAGATTCAAAAGTTTACTTTGGCAGGATATGCCAAGCTAGTATGAGTTACACACTCGGTTTCCACCAACTGCGTAACATTCTTTCACGTCCTCAAAATATATCAGGTTTGCTTATACACACACATATAATTTAATATCTTATCAGTATATTAACACTAACTCAACTACAAAATATGATGATCCTTTATAAGACGCATACAAATTGCACAACAAATTACGTTTTCCACATCTTAAACGAGTATAATTAAACAAATGGATTATGTGTTGTTTGGCAGTTTAAAAAATGAATGTAATATCAATACTCAACCATTAAATATCCACAATACTTAATTAATTGTATTGATAATGCTGAACACTTTAAATTCTTATCGTAAAAATATGCATTTAAAAGAATTCAAACAAAAGATAATCATACTTTTTTTCCTTCAAAGCTGTCACGTGTTGCTCCCACAAAAATTGAACAAGCTCCACAGCTTTTATCAATTGTAAGTTGTTGTATCAGATTTATATCAATTTTGTTCCTAGTTAATTTAATGTGGTCCATGGTGAATTTTCTACGTTATCCTCCACTTATCGGCGGAATCACAGCAATTTCGTCTCCTTTATGTAAATGTATCTCTGTGTCCAGATTTTCAATATAGTTTTCGTTGTGAGCTATGATCAAATTATTACTTATTGTATTCAAGTTAAAAGAATCAATTAATTGATTCAGCAAGTTTCCTGCTTTGATCACAGATTCCACAGTAAATTCTGCACGTGAAGTTTTTGCTAGCTCGCGACTTTTAGCAAAAAATAGCACGTTAATGTTGACAAGCAACGAGCTCCCTTCCATATTCATCTTTCAGATGCCCGATATATGAACATAGATCCTCAATAAAAGTATCGATACACGGATTTTCATTCGATACAATTGTCCAAGTTATTCTAAAAATATCGCTTTATGATTGCAATCACATCTTCTATGTTGGGAAACGGTTAGTGTTAGCCCAGTCGATATATCGACTATTTTCTGTAATGGTGTTCTGCGAATTTTTTAAATAAACAGGCAGGTATTTATCGCACTTTTACTTTGATAATAATTACACCTTCTTGATATTGACAAAAATGAAGGCCAGATGGCGTTATCTTCCATTACCTATGAATCTGGTGGTCTTGATTGTTGTGACAACCTGCGTTAATGTTGTTACAGTGTTAATTAGATAGCAAGCAAAACAATAGATGGAATAACTTTTTCACTTCATCCCATCTAATATTTATATATCCAAAAAAAATGTTGGCTGAATTCTGAAATTTTCATTTTTTTTATTTCAATAATAACAACAATATAACAGAAAAAACATCAAATTATCGAAAAATATTAAATTCATTTAATTTTATGTTTTTGCTTAATTTTTAATAATAGTCCAAGGTGTACAGCAATAAGCAACCGTCGTGGCCAAAGATCGGTCTCCCAATTCCTCGGCGAAGTACCACCACTTCACTGCTTGTGCGATGCGAATCTCAACTTAAGAAGGAGATGACAATTTCGATTCTTCGAATGGTAATGAATGTATATGTATAGAAAATGCGGACACTTGCTGCTGATTGCCGAGTTCTTTTGCAAATTGGTCAATCATATTGTTTAATAACTTCTGTGTCATTTAGCGAATTTTCATGATATTTCAACCATATGATCTACCATTGAATAAGACCTATGTAATAAAATGTAATTCTCCAGACAGATAGACGGATAACGATAAATGGACTTGGGTGTTGTTCGGAATATAGACTATATGTATGCTCACATATACCCCGTTTCATCATTATTTCTAGTGGTTTCTATAAGGCTTAGCGCTAGAAGTTATAAATTTAAATAATTTAGTTTTTATAGACTATCGGCAGTTTTTCTAGATGAGTGTCCCGGTAAGAATGATGAAGGAAGCTGGCATATTTAGCTCTATTTGAAAGAAATGGGTACATTTCTTAATAAATTAACCTATTATATATTATATAATTGAAAAATCGTTATTTGCAATATATTAAAATTAATTTGCTTAGTGTTTCATAATTAGTAAACATTAAATATGTATATTAAATATTTAAATATATTGTATTGTATCGATATTGAAATTGACATTCATCGTTAGAGCCATCGATAGTAAAGCAGCTCTGCGCTTAACTGAATTCTTCTCAATGTTTGTATGTGTGGTTAGTACACAGCTGGCTGTTTTTTTAATTCAGTAAGAATTGTGCAAAATTATACAGTAAGTAAAGATTAAATATTTTTAAGACTACTCGTTGTTACCAACTGGAGTAAATGGACAATGGACAACATCGAGTAAAATCTGATTGTAATTCTTTAATAGCAAATAGTTATAAAGAAAAGTCTTTAATTTTGTGAAGCTATATTGTAAATTGTAAATTGCACATACTACAATTTATACTTTTATGCTGCACTAAGCGTGGCAGATTGCGAGTTATAAAATTCAGACGTGGAAATGTATATCTAGAGTGCTGCAAAATATTGTGAAATAAATTTAGTAACAAAAATTATTTAACTACCGATTAAAGAGTTCATTAATTCTTAGTCAATCGATTTCTGATTTGATATTAAAGAGGCATTTAAAATATATTTGCATTGATTTGTAGGCAACAAAATCTCTAAACCATAAATGATTAACTGTTCTTATACATATGTCTATGTTCAATATGGGAATATGCTATGTACTATAGCGTTAACCCTGGAAATTGTTCACGATATTCATAAGCAATTGTAATTTTTTCCTATTGATGTTTTTAGTCGACCAGTATATTAATCGCAGGTTGTTGAAATCGCTGCTTATCTAACTTATTTTGGTATAAGATATGATCTATGATCTCTGATACATAGGGATTTATTATATATACTTTAACTATTGTATTATATTTGTAAGACTTCAAATATGCATTGTCCAAGTTATTCTAAAAATATCGCTTTATGATTGCAATCACATCTTCTATGTTGGGAAACGGTTAGTGTTAGCCCAGTCGATATATCGACTATTTTCTGTAATGGTGTTCTGCGAATTTTTTAAATAAACAGGCAGGTATTTATCGCACTTTTACTTTGATAATAATTACACCTTCTTGATATTGACAAAAATGAAGGCCAGATGGCGTTATCTTCCATTACCTATGAATCTGGTGGTCTTGATTGTTGTGACAACCTGCGTTAATGTTGTTACAGTGTTAATTAGATAGCAAGCAAAACAATAGATGGAATAACTTTTTCACTTCATCCCATCTAATATTTATATATCCAAAAAAAATGTTGGCTGAATTCTGAAATTTTCATTTTTTTTATTTCAATAATAACAACAATATAACAGAAAAAACATCAAATTATCGAAAAATATTAAATTCATTTAATTTTATGTTTTTGCTTAATTTTTAATAATAGTCCAAGGTGTACAGCAATAAGCAACCGTCGTGGCCAAAGATCGGTCTCCCAATTCCTCGGCGAAGTACCACCACTTCACTGCTTGTGCGATGCGAATCTCAACTTAAGAAGGAGATGACAATTTCGATTCTTCGAATGGTAATGAATGTATATGTATAGAAAATGCGGACACTTGCTGCCGATTGCCGAGTTCTTTTGCAAATTGGTCAATCATATTGTTTAATAACTTCTGTGTCATTTAGCGAATTTTCATGATATTTCAACCATATGATCTACCATTGAATAAGACCTATGTAATAAAATGTAATTCTCCAGACAGATAGACGGATAACGATAAATGGACTTGGGTGTTGTTCGGAATATAGACTATATGTATGCTCACATATACCCCGTTTCATCATTATTTCTAGTGGTTTCTATAAGGCTTAGCGCTAGAAGTTATAAATTTAAATAATTTAGTTTTTATAGACTATCGGCAGTTTTTCTAGATGAGTGTCCCGGTAAGAATGATGAAGGAAGCTGGCATATTTAGCTCTATTTGAAAGAAATGGGTACATTTCTTAATAAATTAACCTATTATATATTATATAATTGAAAAATCGTTATTTGCAATATATTAAAATTAATTTGCTTAGTGTTTCATAATTAGTAAACATTAAATATGTATATTAAATATTTAAATATATTGTATTGTATCGATATTGAAATTGACATTCATCGTTAGAGCCATCGATAGTAAAGCAGCTCTGCGCTTAACTGAATTCTTCTCAATGTTTGTATGTGTGGTTAGTACACAGCTGGCTGTTTTTTTAATTCAGTAAGAATTGTGCAAAATTATACAGTAAGTAAAGATTAAATATTTTTAAGACTACTCGTTGTTACCAACTGGAGTAAATGGACAATGGACAACATCGAGTAAAATCTGATTGTAATTCTTTAATAGCAAATAGTTATAAAGAAAAGTCTTTAATTTTGTGAAGCTATATTGTAAATTGTAAATTGCACATACTACAATTTATACTTTTATGCTGCACTAAGCGTGGCAGATTGCGAGTTATAAAATTCAGACGTGGAAATGTATATCTAGAGTGCTGCAAAATATTGTGAAATAAATTTAGTAACAAAAATTATTTAACTACCGATTAAAGAGTTCATTAATTCTTAGTCAATCGATTTCTGATTTGATATTAAAGAGGCATTTAAAATATATTTGCATTGATTTGTAGGCAACAAAATCTCTAAACCATAAATGATTAACTGTTCTTATACATATGTCTATGTTCAATATGGGAATATGCTATGTACTATAGCGTTAACCCTGGAAATTGTTCACGATATTCATAAGCAATTGTAATTTTTTACTATTGATGTTTTTAGTCGACCAGTATATTAATCGCAGGTTGTTGAAATCGCTGCTTATCTAACTTATTTTGGTATAAGATATGATCTATGATCTCTGATACATAGGGATTTATTATATATACTTTAACTATTGTATTATATTTGTAAGACTTCAAATATGCATTTAGTAAAAATTGTATTTTTATTTTAGGTTAAACTGACGACTGTGATAAACAATATAATCAAAAATGAAAACACGGTTTAGTTCTTATGATATTATATGTGGAGTCGCGGAACTTCAAAGGTAATTTATACAGATTAATAAAATTCTTGAAAATTAAAACTAGAATAGAAATCTGTCTATGGTAAATTGAGGAAATAATCTCTGTTTGTTACTGAACCAAAATTACTTATAAAAATAAGATTTGTTAGCTTGTTGATAAAATACTCATTGATTAACAAAAAATTTAACAAAAATTAACAAAAAAAAACGTTTTGTACTAAATAAAATGGTTCGGCCACTAAGGAAAATCGGATAAATTTCGCTTGCGATTATGTTAGCTGAATTTAGATCGTGAAATTCGGATGCCCTTGGAGGCCACGTTGTTGCTTATTGGATTACTAATATAAAATTGAATAGAAAATCTTTTTTTACCAGACTAAAATTTTAATTTAAATTGTTTAATGGCAAACATTTTTTTTATTATAGGTTAATCGGTTTACGTGTAAACCAGGTATATGATATTGATAATAAGACTTATCTTTTCCGGCTTCATGGAGGCGGAGCGTCGGAGAAGATTACGTTGTTGATTGAATCTGGTACTCGGTTTCACACGACTGCTTTTGAATGGCCAAAAAATGTGGCACCTTCGGGATTCTGCATGAAGTTCCGGAAACACTTAAAAAATAAAAGACTTGAGCATATAAATCAACTAGGTGCTGATAGAATAGTTGACTTTCAATTTGGCACTGGTGAAGCTGCTTACCATGTGTTTTTAGAGTTATATGATCGTGGAAATGTTATTTTAACTGATAATGAGCAAACAATATTATACATATTAAGACCTCACTCGGAAGGAGAAAGTATAAGATTTGCCGTGCGTGAAAAATATCCAATCAATCGAGCGAAAAAAGGAAATTCTGAACTGCTGGAAGAAGAACTGCGTGAAATAGTAGAACATTCAACTGAAGGTGAAAGTTTGAAACGTATATTAATGCCAATTTTAGACTGTGGTCCAGCAGTAATTGAGCATGTTCTGATTGAACATGGGTTAGAAAATCACTTCTTAAAAGGTTCTGTCGATCAAGAGCAAGGACAAGCAGAATCAATAAAAAAACAAAATAAAAGAAAAAACCGGAAAAATCTGCAGGAAGCTCAATCTGATATAAAATTGTTTGATTTAACGTCAGATTTACCGGCACTTATGCAGGCAATCAAGGTTAGTAAGTATTTCTATTAATATTTCCTTAGTATCTTTTGTAATCCAAGCTTATAACAAATTCACGTGGAAATGAATGGTAAAACCAAATTTTAGTCATATGTGAACTGTTTGTAAGTCTAACTTCATAAACAAAAATCATTTAGATATAAATTGAGTTTTTTTAAGAATACATTTTTAGTTTTTATCCATTATAATCTTTATATTCAGAATACATTTTAAGACTAAAAGTTAACACGAATCCAGAACAAAAATGAATGTCGTAGATGCAATAGCAGCCCGATGTGCAAAGGTAGTAGCCAGGGAGGCTTAACTGACTTTATGCATGTTTTGAAAGTGAAAAGAAGCGTTTAAATAAATATCAATAAAAAATAATTAAAGCAACAAAAAAATTGACATAACATGTGTATACACATTAAACATGTGTATTACGTCAACTAGTATGTGACTATGCACATTTAGTTATATTTTACATTTTATTTAGATATATCAGTTATAAATGTAACCAAAATATGTAAGTTAATATTTTGACTAAACTGACAAATATTCTATGGAATATGTAAATTATATGCACACAGAAATTATTATTCAAAACTTAGCAAGTACTTTTTCATTTTTTCTTCAGAAAAATAGCAATTGTAATTAAATATTTGCTACTTATCATTAACAGTGGAGAGTGGAGAGGAGATGGTGGTTCGAACGGCGTTAAGTGTATCTGCTACTCGGGCACTCCCAACATTTCCAACTTGTTTAAATTTATCCTTGTAACTTAGGTTTTAGAAAAAATATTGCTCATCAGTTGTTTTTACATTTTTGGTTTAGATCTAGGAAAATAATTATTTTTAGAACATCACCTCCATAAAATTCTCCCTATATTTGTAGAAAAAATATTAATATATATATTATATAAGCAAATGGTTGATTATAAAAATTTGATATTGTTGCAACGTCTTTAAAAAATTTATTTATTTAATCTTATCTTTTCATTAATATGCATATTTACAGAGCGCGAGGGATATAATTTCAATTGGACAGAATGGAAGCTGCAAAGGATTTATAATTCAAGTTAAAGAAGAAAAACCCACAAATACTGAACATACAGAACATTTTTATAGAAATATTGAGTTTCATCCATATTTGTTTTCACAATATAAAGAACTGCCTTTTAAAGAATATGAAACATTCATGGAGGCAGTTGATGAGTTTTTTTCATCTCAAGAATCACAAAAAATTGATATGAAAACATTACAACAAGAAAGAGAAGCCCTTAAAAAGCTTTCCAATGTCAAAAAAGATCACACAAAGCGTCTGGAGGAACTTAACAAAGTGCAAGATGATGATAAGAAAAAAGCGGAATTAATAACATGCAATCAGAGTTTAGCGTTTTGTAAGCGTGCGTTCCGCAGTACTTTGCATTTAGCTGCTTCATACTGGTCGTTTTGTCTAGTCATTAGTTTATTTAATTGGAAGGAATAGTTTGGTCGTACTTGCGGTCCACTATTATAAGTCGCGCGACAGACTACAATAGTATAATTAGCAAATTTTTGGAATGACACTTAAAAAATGTTGTTTTGATCTCATATATGTATATGTCCTTACCCTTTAAATGACCTTTTGATTGTTGTTGCTTTACAAGGAAACTTTGGGTGCGAGCACACGAATCTTTTCCTACTATCGACTCTAGGAGTGCAGGATCTGTTGTTTGTTGTCTGAAGTCAATTATATTGTAGAGATTAATTTCATCCCGTTTCCTTTTTAAGAAACATTTTACTCGTCGGTTCAACTCGCTGTCATTAACTTTGATTTGTACTAGCTTATTATCAGAAATATTATCTATTTGGTGCTCAATTTTGCAAGAAGAAAATTCGAAAGTTCTTGAAGATGTTTCGGAAAATGCTGTTAAAATTAAAGGAAGAAAAATAAAGAAATAAAAATTGTCTTCCACATTTATGCTTATATGACAATAGCTTTATCTATTACAAATGAAAAAGTTATAGTTTCTTACGGGGCCAAGGGCACTCCATATTTGCTTTCCACTCTCCGATTAAATCATTTTCATATATTTCTTTTTTCCATATAGGCACACTCGACTTAAGCTTATCTATAGCAAAGCTAACCGATTCCAATGCGGCTTTTCGATGCGGTGCAGAAACGGCAATTACTATACTTTCTTCGGTTACAGGAACGTTTCCCAGTCGATGATATATCGCAATATGCTTAACATCTGGCCACTGCACCCTTAGTTCTGAGCAGATCTTACCCATTTCCTTTAAAGCCATATTTTCATACGCTTCATATTCTAATGATATTACCTGTAAGCAAAATATAAATTTTTGATAAGTCTCTATAATTTTACTTACAGTATTTGCTTATATAAAATTCCAAGAATAACGAAATAGAACCTACATCAATTTAGAAGCCAAATGTGTGTATATAAAACAAAGTTGGATTTATTATTTATGTTCATTTGACGGATTTAAAAAGATTAATAAATCAAGAGTGTCCTGGTAGAGACTGCTCGAATAGGAGATACCCTGAAGAAGATTCAAAAGTTTACTTTGGCAGGATATGCCAAGCTAGTATGAGTTACACACTCGGTTTCCACCAACTGCGTAACATTCTTTCACGTCCTCAAAATATATCAGGTTTGCTTATACACACACATATAATTTAATATCTTATCAGTATATTAACACTAACTCAACTACAAAATATGATGATCCTTTATAAGACGCATACAAATTGCACAACAAATTACGTTTTCCACATCTTAAACGAGTATAATTAAACAAATGGATTATGTGTTGTTTGGCAGTTTAAAAAATGAATGTAATATCAATACTCAACCATTAAATATCCACAATACTTAATTAATTGTATTGATAATGCTGAACACTTTAAATTCTTATCGTAAAAATATGCATTTAAAAGAATTCAAACAAAAGATAATCATACTTTTTTTCCTTCAAAGCTGTCACGTGTTGCTCCCACAAAAATTGAACAAGCTCCACAGCTTTTATCAATTGTAAGTTGTTGTATCAGATTTATATCAATTTTGTTCCTAGTTAATTTAATGTGGTCCATGGTGAATTTTCTACGTTATCCTCCACTTATCGGCGGAATCACAGCAATTTCGTCTCCTTTATGTAAATGTATCTCTGTGTCCAGATTTTCAATATAGTTTTCGTTGTGAGCTATGATCAAATTATTACTTATTGTATTCAAGTTAAAAGAATCAATTAATTGATTCAGCAAGTTTCCTGCTTTGATCACAGATTCCACAGTAAATTCTGCACGTGAAGTTTTTGCTATCTCGCGACTTTTAGCAAAAAATAGCACGTTAATGTTGACAAGCAACGAGCTCCCTTCCATATTCATCTTTCAGATGCCCGATATATGAACATAGATCCTCAATAAAAGTATCGATACACGGATTTTCATTCGATACAATTGTCCAAGTTATTCTAAAAATATCGCTTTATGATTGCAATCACATCTTCTATGTTGGGAAACGGTTAGTGTTAGCCCAGTCGATATATCGACTATTTTCTGTAATGGTGTTCTGCGAATTTTTTAAATAAACAGGCAGGTATTTATAGCACTTTTAGTTTGATAATAATTACACCTTCTTGATATTGACAAAAATGAAGGCCAGATGGCGTTATCTTCCATTACCTATGAATCTGGTGGTCTTGATTGTTGTGACAACCTGCGTTAATGTTGTTACAGTGTTAATTAGATAGCAAGCAAAACAATAGATGGAATAACTTTTTCACTTCATCCCTTCTAATATTTATATATCCAAAAAAAATGTTGGCTGAATTCTGAAATTTTCATTTTTTTTATTTCAATAATAACAACAATATAACTGAAAAAACATCAAATTATCGAAAAATATTAAATTCATTTAATTTTATGTTTTTGCTTAATTTTTAATAATAGTCCAAGGTGTACAGCAATAAGCAACCGTCGTGGCCAAAGATCGGTCTCCCAATTCCTCGGCGAAGTACCACCACTTCACTGCTTGTGCGATGCGAATCTCAACTTAAGAAGGAGATGACAATTTCGATTCTTCGAATGGTAATGAATATATATGTATAGAAAATGCGGACACTTGCTGCTGATTGCCGAGTTCTTTTGCAAATTGGTCAATCATATTGTTTAATAACTTCTGTGTCATTTAGCGAATTTTCATGATATTTCAACCATATGATCTACCATTGAATAAGACCTATGTAATAAAATGTAATTCTCCAGACAGATAGACGGATAACGATAAATGGACTTGGGTGTTGTTCGGAATATAGACTATATGTATGCTCACATATACCCCGTTTCATCATTATTTCTAGTGGTTTCTATAAGGCTTAGCGCTAGAAGTTATAAATTTAAATAATTTAGTTTTTATAGACTATCGGCAGTTTTTCTAGATGAGTGTCCCGGTAAGAATGATGAAGGAAGCTGGCATATTTAGCTCTATTTGAAAGAAATGGGTACATTTCTTAATAAATTAACCTATTATATATTATATAATTGAAAAATCGTTATTTGCAATATATTAAAATTAATTTGCTTAGTGTTTCATAATTAGTAAACATTAAATATGTATATTAAATATTTAAATATATTGTATTGTATCGATATTGAAATTGACATTCATCGTTAGAGCCATCGATAGTAAAGCAGCTCTGCGCTTAACTGAATTCTTCTCAATGTTTGTATGTGTGGTTAGTACACAGCTGGCTGTTTTTTTAATTCAGTAAGAATTGTGCAAAATTATACAGTAAGTAAAGATTAAATATTTTTAAGACTACTCGTTGTTACCAACTGGAGTAAATGGACAATGGACAACATCGAGTAAAATCTGATTGTAATTCTTTAATAGCAAATAGTTATAAAGAAAAGTCTTTAATTTTGTGAAGCTATATTGTAAATTGTAAATTGCACATACTACAATTTATACTTTTATGCTGCACTAAGCGTGGCAGATTGCGAGTTATAAAATTCAGACGTGGAAATGTATATCTAGAGTGCTGCAAAATATTGTGAAATAAATTTAGTAACAAAAATTATTTAACTACCGATTAAAGAGTTCATTAATTCTTAGTCAATCGATTTCTGATTTGATATTAAAGAGGCATTTAAAATATATTTGCATTGATTTGTAGGCAACAAAATCTCTAAACCATAAATGATTAACTGTTCTTATACATATGTCTATGTTCAATATGGGAATATGCTATGTACTATAGCGTTAACCCTGGAAATTGTTCACGATATTCATAAGCAATTGTAATTTTTTCCTATTGATGTTTTTAGTCGACCAGTATATTAATCGCAGGTTGTTGAAATCGCTGCTTATCTAACTTATTTTGGTATAAGATATGATCTATGATCTCTGATACATAGGGATTTATTATATATACTTGAACTATTGTATTATATTTGTAAGACTTCAAATATGCATTTAGTAAAAATTGTATTTTTATTTTAGGTTAAACTGACGACTGTGATAAACAATATAATCAAAAATGAAAACACGGTTTAGTTCTTATGATATTATATGTGGAGTCGCGGAACTTCAAAGGTAATTTATACAGATTAATAAAATTCTTGAAAATTAAAACTAGAATAGAAATATGTCTATGGTAAATTGAGGAAATAATCTCTGTTTGTTACTGAACCAAAATTACTTATAAAAATAAGATTTGTTAGCTTGTTGATAAAATACTCATTGATTAACAAAAAATTTAACAAAAATTAACAAAAAAAAACGTTTTGTACTAAATAAAATGGTTCGGCCACTAAGGAAAATCGGATAAATTTCGCTTGCGATTATGTTAGCTGAATTTAGATCGTGAAATTCGGATGCCCTTGGAGGCCACGTTGTTGCTTATTGGATTACTAATATAAAATTGAATAGAAAATCTTTTTTTACCAGACTAAAATTTTAATTTAAATTGTTTAATGGCAAACATTTTTTTTATTATAGGTTAATCGGTTTACGTGTAAACCAGGTATATGATATTGATAATAAGACTTATCTTTTCCGGCTTCATGGAGGCGGAGCGTCGGAGAAGATTACGTTGTTGATTGAATCTGGTACTCGGTTTCACACGACTGCTTTTGAATGGCCAAAAAATGTGGCACCTTCGGGATTCTGCATGAAGTTCCGGAAACACTTAAAAAATAAAAGACTTGAGCATATAAATCAACTAGGTGCTGATAGAATAGTTGACTTTCAATTTGGCACTGGTGAAGCTGCTTACCATGTGTTTTTAGAGTTATATGATCGTGGAAATGTTATTTTAACTGATAATGAGCAAACAATATTATACATATTAAGACCTCACTCGGAAGGAGAAAGTATAAGATTTGCCGTGCGTGAAAAATATCCAATCAATCGAGCGAAAAAAGGAAATTCTGAACTGCTGGAAGAAGAACTGCGTGAAATAGTAGAACATTCAACTGAAGGTGAAAGTTTGAAACGTATATTAATGCCAATTTTAGACTGTGGTCCAGCAGTAATTGAGCATGTTCTGATTGAACATGGGTTAGAAAATCACTTCTTAAAAGGTTCTGTCGATCAAGAGCAAGGACAAGCAGAATCAATAAAAAAACAAAATAAAAGAAAAAACCGGAAAAATCTGCAGGAAGCTCAATCTGATATAAAATTGTTTGATTTAACGTCAGATTTACCGGCACTTATGCAGGCAATCAAGGTTAGTAAGTATTTCTATTAATATTTCCTTAGTATCTTTTGTAATCCAAGCTTATAACAAATTCACGTGGAAATGAATGGTAAAACCAAATTTTAGTCATATGTGAACTGTTTGTAAGCCTAACTTCATAAATGTAACCAAAATATGTAAGTTAATGTTTTGACTAAACTGACAAATATTCTATGGAATATGTAAATTATATGCACACAGAAATTATTATTCAAAACTTAGCAAGTACTTTTTCATTTTTTCTTCAGAAAAATAGCAATTGTAATTAAATATTTGCTACTTATCATTAACAGTGGAGAGTGGAGAGGAGATGGTGGTTCGAACGGCGTTCAGTGTATCTGCTACTCGGGCACTCCCAACATTTCCAACTTGTTTAAATTTATCCTTGTAACTTAGGTTTTAGAAAAAATATTGCTCATCAGTTGTTTTTACATTTTTGGTTTAGATCTAGGAAAATAATTATTTTTAGAACATCACCTCCATAAAATTCTCCCTATATTTGTAGAAAAAATATTAATATATATATTATATAAGCAAATGGTTGATTATAAAAATTTGATATTGTTGCAACGTCTTTAAAAAATTTATTTATTTAATCTTATCTTTTCATTAATATGAATATTTACAGAGCGCGAGGGATATAATTTCAATTGGACAGAATGGAAGCTGCAAAGGATTTATAATTCAAGTTAAAGAAGAAAAACCCACAAATACTGAACATACAGAACATTTTTATAGAAATATTGAGTTTCATCCATATTTGTTTTCACAATATAAAGAACTGCCTTTTAAAGAATATGAAACATTCATGGAGGCAGTTGATGAGTTTTTTTCATCTCAAGAATCACAAAAAATTGATATGAAAACATTACAACAAGAAAGAGAAGCCCTTAAAAAGCTTTCCAATGTCAAAAAAGATCACACAAAGCGTCTGGAGGAACTTAACAAAGTGCAAGATGATGATAAGAAAAAAGCGGAATTAATAACATGCAATCAGAGTTTAGTTGATAAAGCTATTTTGGCAATTCAGTCAGCCATAGCCAGTCAGTTGTCGTGGCCAGACATACAAGAGCTTGTAAAAGAAGCCCAAGCCAATGGTGATATTGTTGCAAGTTCGATAAAACAATTAAAGTTAGAAATCAACCACATATCATTATTACTTACCGATCCATATAACAACGGAAGCGAATATACAAGTGATGATAATAATGCTGAGAACAATGATTCATTTATAGTAGACATTGATTTGGCCCTATCCGCTTGGGCCAATGCTCGCCGATATTACGATTTGAAGCGGTCAGCTGCTCTAAAAGAGCAAAAAACGATTGATGCTTCACAGAAAGCTCTAAAGTCAGCCGAGCGCAAGACGCAGCAAACTCTAAAAGAAGTACGCACTATATCTAATATAGCTAAAGCAAGAAAAATATTTTGGTTTGAAAAGTTTTTTTGGTTTGTTAGTTCCGAGAACTACTTAGTAATTGGAGGAAGAGATGCCCAGCAAAATGAACTTATTGTTAAAAGGTGGGTACATAATTTACTTACTTTCATCTCTAGTTTAGGGAGTGTCCTTCATGCCATCTTAATAGTCTGTATAAGGAAAACTATTTTAACGTTATAGAAGCTATATATATATATATAGATATACAGCTATAGACTTAAAATTTGAAATACTTAATAAGCTACGAAAAATGTTATTTTTCAACTTTAGTAAATAAGGACTAACTAACTAATACATATTTAATAGCTCGATAATTAAAAAAAAAATTCAAGAATAATCAAAATAAACAAGTAATAAATCTATAGTCGGGGTGCGCGACTAGGAGAAGCCAGTCCCATCTGCGTTTTTTAGTGCTTTTAATAGTTAGAAGAAAAACTAAAGGTTCGAATCGAAGTTTCCCACGCAACGCGCATCAACTCTACCAACACCGCCATTTCATAATGAAAAAAAAAAAACGCGAACTTGAGGGCAACGCGTGCCGCCTCTACCACCATCGACACTGCGTTGCTTGTGCAAGAAGTTGCAAAGCTGAACTTAAGTAACAGATGACAATTCAAGCACAATTCTATTGCAATTTCGATTCTTCGAATAGAAAAGAATGTAAGTGTGCACATGTATGCTTGGTGCTGTTAGTCGCATGCTTTTGCAAATTGGCCAAACGGTTTGTTTAATAACTTCGGTTTTACTTAATGGATTTTATTGACATTTTCAGCATTTGATCTACATATTCTATTGGATTGTAGAAATACGAACTTCTTCACATATTGGTTATATTTCAACTGAACTTAAATTTAAAGAATTCGGGAAAATTTGGTATTTCGGTATTTAAAATATAACAAAAATCTAATTTGTTTAAAATATATACAAGTTAATATACAATTTGGATATAATTTAATACCTATTTGATACAAACTATAAAAAGTATTGGTATCCTTAAGTAAGGGGAAAAAGTGATGTGTGTTGGGTGACATGTGTTTTTGGCACGACAAACTTAAACTATTTAAAAGAACAGCTAAGATTGCTCTCCCCCGATGTAATTGTTGAATAACTATTCTTCTAGATTAACTTTATCAAGTTTTCAGAGTGTGATGAGATCCTGATATAAGCCTCTTGTATTTGAAATTAGTTTTATGCGCACCTTAGAAGATGGGGATGGTATAATATATCCAAAATATGCTAAATCTGTTTATTCAAAATTTAAGAAAAATTTTCTGGTATTCAAAAAACACTTAACTGAAATTATATTTTCGATTCTTATCGATAATAATGAAACGTGAGGATCGAAAAACACGTATTGTGTTTGGTATGTATAAATGTAGGAATATATAAATTTAAAATGTCAAGTAACTAACTTTTAACTAAATTTTTTACGAAATATCCTTATCAAAAAAAAATATATACTTTATGGGACACGCATCCATCTATCTGTTACATACAAACAAAGTTCTGTTGTTACTTTAGGCTGGAATCCTTGTCCTAGAACATTAATATATTTTTTCTATTATTGCTATTGCCTTTAACTTTTTCTTTTCTTTTGCTTTTGTTTCATTTTTGTTAGGTACATGCGGTCAAAAGATATATATGTTCATGCGGATATTCAAGGTGCATCAAGTGTTATAATTCGTAACGCAACTGGGGAAGAAATTCCACCCAAAACATTATTAGAAGCTGGTACTATGGCCATTTCATACAGCGTGGCGTGGGATGCAAAAGTTGTAACAAATGCATACTGGGTTTATAGCAATCAAGTTAGTAAAACGGCTCCAACAGGAGAATATTTGGGAACAGGTAGTTTTATGATTCGTGGAAAAAAAAATTTTTTGCCATCTTGTCATCTTATTATGGGCCTGAGCCTACTTTTTAAACTTGAGGATGGCTTCGTACAACGTCATGTAGGAGAACGGAAAATTCGAGCTACAGAAGATATCATAGATGTTGATAAAATTGAACAGCCAGAAATTACGTCTACAGATTTAATTGAATTAAATGAGGGTTGTGATGCAAGTACTGAATACGCAAATAATTCTTTTCCAAACACAGAAGTAAAGATTGAACATGATACGGGCAAAATAACTGTTAAAACTGATTTATTTGTTGAAACTGATAAATCGAGCACTGTCGACCAACGAAGCCAAGACCTAACAAATGATGAAGATGCAGTCATTATAAAACCAGGTCCATCCCGAAAGAAGAATCAATCGACAAAAAAACGAAGGGAATGCAAAGAACGGTCAGAAAAAACAAGTATTGAGATGCTTCGCATTACCGCGCCAGAAATGGAAACGAATTCTGCTAAAGTTAAACGTGGCCAAAAAGGAAAGCTGAAAAAAATGAAACTGAAATATAAAGATCAAGACGATGAGGAACGTAAAATTAGGATGATGATCCTAAAGTCATCTGGAAAGGACAAACTACTAACTAATTCTGACACAGAAGAGGCAAAACCTAGTACTTTAAAAAAAAATACTCCAGCGAAAGCATTAGAAACCGTTATCGACAAAAATCAAATTGAAATTGAAGATAACGACGAGAGTCCTGTGACTGTGGACACCGATTTGCTAGATAGCCTTACTGGTGTGCCATTTGATGATGATGAGTTGTTATTTGCTATACCAGTTGTGGCTCCGTATCAAGCATTGCAACAATATAAGTAAGTATATATAATTCAAATTCATTTAATTTTCCAATGTAAGTATATGTATGCATAGATGATTCATTATTAAATATTTAAAGGGCTCAATTTCTTAAAATTGTTATATTTTTATTTGATGTATTAAAGATATAATAGTATTATTATAAGATTAGTTTATAGGTTTACCTTCAGAACTTCGCAATCGCTTATAAATTCAATTATTTTAAGGAATATAAATTAATAAAATTGTAAGCCAAGTTGTATATTTTTAGGGAACTATCCTCTAGAGACAGAGTTCTCCACTAAATTGTGCTGCATTTGTTATTATAAAGTCTTAAGTTGTGGTTTTATTTTAATTTAAAGTTTTGTAGATGTAGACTTTTAACATAAAAATGTAATCTTTAAGTCTTGATTCGATGCTTTGTTTGATCTCCCATCGGTCGTACCTGATTCCGCGATAATTTTTTTCGCAGAATTTCTAATTTTTAAGAAATCATAATCCTTTTTTATTTCAGACTTGTTCCATAAGTTTCTCAAAATCAAAGTAAACTTGAATGTCTAATTTTTCCTCTAAAGATATGCTGAATAAGAATAAGATGCAAATCACATGTAATCAAATTCTAAGTAATTTTTTTATATTCAAATCTCTATTACAGGTTCAAAGTAAAGCTTACACCTGGTACTGGAAAACGTGGAAAAGCATCTAAATTGGCACTAAGTATTTTTTCAAAAGAAAAAGCCTGTAATAATCGTGAAAGAGATTTACTGAAAAGTATAAAAGAAGAATCACTTGCACGGAACATTCCAGGAAAAGTGAAAATTTCGGCACCTCAGTTACAAAAGTTACGAAAATAAATGCTTTTGAAGTCGTACATAATTTGAAATTATATAAAAAGTTATTTCTATAATTAAAACAAATAAAACAAGTAAGAAAGCTCTAGTTGGGGTACCCGACTAGGCAATACCCTGATCCCAGTCCTATATGCGTTTATTAACATTTTCAATTGTTTGTCTAAAGTATTACAAAAAAAAAAAAAACAAATAAAAATCGACATTACGACACGAAGGTTCAAACCACATTACCATAAAAAAAAAACAAAAAGAAAACCAAAATAAAAAACATTCATTCGCCGCCTGGCTCGAACCCTGGGATTGTCGCCGACAAGCGCAGCCTCTACCAACACTACCAGTGCACTGCACTGCTTGTGCAAAAAGTTGCAAATCTCAACTTAATTAGCAGCTGACAATTCAAGCACGCATATGAATGTATAGAAAAATGAGTACGATTGGCGATGCTTGTCATGTGCCTTTGCAAATTGGCTAAACGTTTTGTTAAATAACTTCTGTTTTCAGTATGCGATCAGCATATTATATTGTATTAGTAGAAATGCAAACTTCTTTACTTATTGGGCCTATTTTCAACTGAATTCTAACTTAAAGAATTTGGGAAAATTTGTAGCCGGTATCCAAAATATAAGAAAAATCCATATTGTAAAAGATATACATAAAAATATATTTAAAATGTGGGGGCTTTACGGGAATGCGCATGCTATACACGGGCCTACGAAGAAGGTCAAATCTCTAACTCTGAAAGATGCTGATTTTGTCTTACATATATTTGCACAAAACCAGTATACTCTGAATTATTCTGGGTTCTTATGGCAGACTTTTGGGGCCACTATTGTAAACGTGCTTTGGAGAAGGACATTTCAAACGAGTATAAGCTATACAAAGTAATAAAGAAATGACATTAAAAATAAGATTCTTAGGACCAACTACTGCCACCAACTAGGGATTTGCTTCGTCCCAGCTTGAAATAGTTGACAGATTTGGCGAATCCTGAGCAGGAGTGCTGACGCAAGTCATCGGAACATCTGAATTCGTTTTTCGCCCAATACAGTTATCGAAATACACATTATTTAAAGTCGACTTGCGCATGCGTTAGCAAACGATAAGTACGCACAGACCAGTGTAGAATCAAAGTATGCATGTATTTGTTTACTGGATTTTGTTCTAGTATACAACATGTATTGTATACGTCTTAGTGATAAACGTGTTTTCTTATTTGTTTAATAAATAAATATAAAAATGTAGTTCGTGATTCTAAAAACAAATATATTTGGAAGAAAATTGCGCCACACACAGATACAGATACAAATTAACTTACAATTGAGGTGAAGAGACGAATTAGTGTATAATAAATATCGTTATATGGCAAAAGAAAATCTAAGAATTTTTTGGTATTACATACTTGTGTAAATTCTAATAATATAAATACATAAAAGATAGATAAGAAAACTTACTTTTATTATAAATATTCCCACACGTTTCATTCTGTTGGGTTAAATTTATGTATGAGCACTTAGATATTTATATATATAAATTTTAATAGTGTACGAAAGAATTTCATTAACTTTTTATTCAAGAATAATTGTTAACGACTTTAAGTATACCTACACACTTGTCTGTGTACATATACATATGTATGTAATGATAAAAGAATTTTAAATATGTGTAGATAAATTGTGCACAAAATTGTGAGCACATACATATGTATTGATTAAATAAATTCTACGAATTTGTACAAAAAGTATATTGACGAGATAATATTTAAATTAAAAACATAGTTGCTTATATAGTTCTCAACCAAGTTTATGAATTAATAATAATAATTAAAAAATATCAGATTAAAAATTAAAAGTAAAAGAAAGAAAATTGCATAGTAATCTTTAATGCGTAGACATACTTACAATGACTTACACAAGTATTTTAGAAGTGCTTTAAATAATTTTATTTTTGAACTAAATACATTAAAGTTGGTGTTGTTTTCTTTTGTTTTATGTTGATGCCGAAGTATTCCCGTAAGAATTTATATTAGCATATTGCAGATGAAATTCACAAAATATATTACTTATCTAAAATGTATGGAATATGCAAAAGTAAGCACGACCGAATGTCGATTATATATTGGTATTTTTGGGTGTTGCAGTTTACAAATTTATAAAAACAACTAGAGCACAGCTCTAGTCTGGTGCCCACAGATTTAATTTCGCCATAAAAGTAAGTAAGAAAGCTATAAACGGGGTGTCTGACTAGCAAATAAGTTGAATCCTGTCCGATCTGCGGGTTTACATATACTCTATAGATTGTATGTGGCATTAACTTATACATATTTTCACTACCAAAGCAAGGAAGAAACAAGTGAAAAAGCTCTAGTCGGGGTGCCCGACTAAGAGATTTCCTGAACCCAGTCCTATATGCGTTCTTTAATATTTTCAATAGTTTGTATCAAGTATAAAAAAAACACAAAACAGACATTACGACTCAAAGATTTGAACCAATGTTGCCTTCGCCACGCGCATCACCTCTACCAACATCGCTACTTCATAATTATAATATAAAACAATTATAATATAAAACAATTAAGAAAGCTCTAGTCAGTCCTTAGTCCTCTTTGAGTTTTTTGATATTTTTCGTAGTTTGCAACGAGTATTCAAAAAAATAAAATAAAAATCGACAGTACGACACCAGGATTCGAACCCACTATTTTTACGCAACCCGCACCACATCTACCAACACCTTCACTTCATAATTTTAAAAAATAAAACCATAAATAATATTCCATCTCCACTGGTCTCGAATCCTGGGACTAGCTGCTTACGACCGCAGCCTGTACCATCGCAGCCACTGCACCACTTGCAAGAATAGCTGCAAATTTGAAGTTAAGTAGCAGCTAATAATTTAGCATAATTCATTCGCAATTTCGATTCTTCTAATAGGAAAGAATACACGCATTTGAATGTATGTGTGCACACGCATATTCTATTGGCTTGGTAGAGATGCAAATACCTTCACATAATGGCCCTAGTTCCAACTAAACTTAAATTTTCAGAATTTGGGGAAATTTGGATCCAGTATCCGAAATCCAACAAAAATCAAAATTGCATAAAATATATATAAAACTAAATACAACATTTGGAGGCTCTAGCTTTTAAGACGTCCGAGATATAATTTATTAACTGCATTTCAATCATGTTTTTATTAGATATCAATTAAATGCGAATAGTTATCGAACCTACACGGACCTACAAAAAATGTCAATGTCTTATAGATGCTGAGATCCACGCGTTCACACATACGAACAGACAGACAGACGGGCAGGGCTCAATCGACTCGGCTTGTCGTCCTGATCAAGAATATATATTCTTTATGGGGTCTGCCACGCGTATTTATGCCTGTTACATACATTTGCACAAAACCATTATACCCTGATTTCCCATTTTCAATGGGAAGAACAAAATAAACATTCCTTTTTTCGCTAACGAGCGCCTCTATCTACACTGCCAATTCAATGTTCGAACAAGGAGTTGCAAATTTGATCTTCAATAGCAGCTGATAACTCAAGCACAATCCAATCGGAATTTTGATTCTTGGAATAGAAAAGAATACACGCATTTGAATGTATGTGTACACATATGCTGCATTTCGATTATGTTTTTAAACGATAACAATAAAACGGGAATACTTATAGAATATTTGAAACATACATGGTATGCGCGTACTACACACGGCCCTCCAAAATCAATTCTCTAGCTCTTATAGATGCTGAGATCGACGCCTTCACACATACCGGAGAGAACAGAGAGCGTAGAGTAAGCATAATAATATTGTCCCCATTATAAGGCTAGAACAAGTTTACAAAAAGCAGATCCGTTACTTTTAATGGTAATTAACAGCTCTGTTGTGACATTACAGTTTCGATTTGCCCTCTGTTATCCCATTTGAAGCTTGGCGGGCACTTAAGCAGAGCTGCGCCATGTGCTCCAAATTTATAAAATTCTAATAGCAAGCACTACAAAAATGTTATATTCTTTATTACATTTTCTTAAAATTTAAAACAGTATAGAGGATAGTTTTGTAAGCTTTACGGCAACAACAATGATAAAATGTTAAAAAAGAAATGTTAATAGGCTAACTTACCTGAAATTTCGGCAGAAGTAACTCCTGTTTATGTTAATTTATCTAAATACAAGTTTGAAAGTCCCTCAATAAAACTGCTGCTCACACATACATTTTAATGAAATTAATCGCCTGCATTAATTAATAAATCAAAGACAGCGTATCATCGTTAGCTTAGATTCTAAAGATAAAGATCCTCCTGAAACAAATACCGAAATATTGGCAGATGCAATGCGCAATGGTGTAGGGAACAAATATTACTTTTACAATTACTTTTGGAAAAGAAATTTAAGCTTATTCCACACCAAAATAGAAACGGTTGAATGATTACGCGAGCAATATAAACAATCATAAATAATTGTATTAAATCAGTTGATTTAATTATAGAATATGACAAAATGGAGACGAATCAATATTATTGCCGAAGTGGAGCGCAGCAGAATTTGACTTCATCAACAGTTTCTCAACAGCCCTTGAATAAAATGTGCTACGAGGGCAATGTTGGTCAGGAGTATGTAGCATGTAGTTCGACTCATGTGGAATCGGGATTCAACGGAAGGGAGATACCTTCAAAAAATGGAAACAGTAAATCGCAAATAGGAAATCGCAGCATGGGTAGCCCATATGCATTTTCTAACTGCAATAGCAATAGCAATAGCAGTAGTCAGTGTAACAATAATTCGAATAATGCTGGAAATTACATAAATATAATGACTGTGCCATTGGGCACGTTGCAATACAATCGAAAGAAGTCAACAACTCAGGACTATCAGTAAGTGAACCTATTTGCTTTTGAATAAAGAAAATTGTATATTAGTTCGCGTCCTTGTTGATAGTTCACGCCTCTATTACAACACCGCAGATGTTAAGTGTCGTGAAGACTATTATGTGGGAAATAATATAAAATGTAGTAGTGAAACGCCGTCTCATCAGCCAATGCCACAGTTAACACAAAATCATCAACACGTTCAGCATCAATTGCAACACATCAATCAAAATTCTCACAGTCATCAGTTGCAGAATAACCAACAGACAACTGCAAGTAGCCCGAGTTCAGGGCTTGAAGCGATCGATGATACAGTTGATTGTGCTGTATATTCAAATGCCACTGGAAATGGACGCGTTGTAGCCGCTACTCAAACACATATGAATAATGCCAACGTGGCATCATGTGAGCAAATGAGTTCGCAAACACCAGTGTCTTTGGTTCCCGTCAATGTGCCTGTTCCGCCTTTAATGTATACCGTGCACCGTGTGGTAACAACAGCTCAAATTCAGACAGCTGTTGGAAGCACATTTGCTTCTACTGCGAGCGTGTCTAGCGTTGTTAGTAGTCGAAATGAGAATGACTGTATGGCATCAGCGCAAATGACATCAGCCATGTCGATGTCAGCTAACGATACTTGTCACACTGGTCTACATATTTCGGACCTCGGTGGCAATATTATAACTAATGGCAATTCGCTTGGACCATTGACTGGAGTGCGAAGTTCATCCGGTAAAATTGTATTTTAAAAAAACTAATAGAAACCTTAATCAATTTTTTTGTTTTTAGGAATTCTGACAAATTATTTACCAGCTCAGCAGAAATGCACCAACAGTGACGTTCCAAAAAATCCAACAATATCAAAACGAGTGGTTGGAAATTCTTCTGCCTATACAAGTGCTGGAAAATCAAATGCGGTAGTCAGCCGGACTCTACAAAATGTACGTTGTTCAGTTAATACTTAAGATAAACTATAGAATAATTTATTAATGTACTAGGTCATTCCGACTTGTGTGTACTTAATGTCAAGAGTTGCTGTGCACATGGAGATTGAGGGCACGGACCAGTGTCCTTCTCAAGTAATGCTAGCAGCTGCACTAGGATGCGAAGAATTGGGAATTTCTAACAAGTTGCTAGCTCAAAGTATATTTGGATTATGGATGACAAGTAGTCTTCTGGAATTGCAATTGAAGGCACATCATTGTCCTTATATTGTTCGAGTAGCCTGGTCTGGTTTACTGGAAAAATATAGCAACGGCAATCCAATAGAACGAAAATATGATGAACCTATGATAGTTCTAAAGCGGAATGTGTTCTTTTCTAAGCGAGATGAAGAGAAAATCAAGTAAGTCAAGACATCTGTGTTAATAGATAAACCAACTTAAGTGGTAAAAATATCAGGGATCATCGGATAGTAGAACTTCTGTATGAAGAGGCGAAGCATTGCGTCTTAAACGGAAGATATATTATGGAGCCGGTGCATTCGTTAATGTTGGGTGGTATTCAAGCAAGAATTGAACTGGGACCATACAATCCCCACACACACACTGTGGGATTTTTTAGGTGAGATTCAAAATAAAATGTTATTTATCGCACTAAAAAAGTTTCACATATTTAGAGAAAACCAGTCAAGATTTCTACCAAAACATGTTGCTAAAAGTTCGAATTGGCTGTGGTTGCCAATAAGCCAGAAGAATTCAGCAGAAATTAAACTTTTGGAGCAATTCAAGCGAGTGCCACAGACAGCTACGACCAAGAAATTGATGCGGAAATATTTGGAATTTTGCTGGGCATTGCCATTTTATGGGTGAGTATTCAATTTCTATTGACTCTTGTTAAAATATAAATGTATATAATAAGAAATACCACAACTGGAGTTTTGAAAATAAAAGTCTTCATTTTTTTTTAATTTTTTTTATATATACCGTTATTTTGTTATATTCTTAGTATCCATTCATCTATGAACTTAAAAAAAGTTGTATTTTAATCAGACTACTAGATTATGTATTTTCACTTTTTATAAAAATCAGAATCAACGATGATTTACTATCGTATATATAAAGACTTTATTGATGCTGCGTCACACACATAACATTTTATTATTTTTATATCCTGATACCATTGAAATAGGGAAATCAAGGTCTAATGGATTTGCTATGCGTGAACGCGTCGCTCTCCGCATTTTTGTAGCACGCGCATATCAAGTTTGTTGCAAATAATTGACAACTACTCAAGTTTCATTGGTATCGATTAAGAACATTATCAAATTGCAGTTTTTAAAAATATATCTCGTACGGCTTAAGAGCTAAAGCCTCCCAATTTTGTATTTAGTTGTATGAATATTTTATATAAATTTGATATTTTTATATTTTGAATACTGTAAAGTTTATAAATTAAAGTTCAGTTGGAAATAGGGCCGATAAGTGAAGGGTTTTGCATTTCTATTAATCAAACAGAATATGTAGATAATATGCTTTAAATTTAATTAAGATCCGTTAAGAAAAACATAAGTTATTAAACAAAACGTTGGAGCAATTTGCATGTCAAGCAGCACCGAGTGAACGCATTTTTCCTATAGATTTGCACACATACATTAAAATGCGAAATTGTTGAGATTCGCAACGCATTACACAAGCTGTGAAGTGGGGGTGTTGGTTGGGTGTGTTCTAGGCTGGTGGCGAACCGAATTTGTTTTTTTTTTTGTCTTTTTTTTTTATTTTACTCGATACAAACGATTAAAAATATTGAACGCAGATAGGACTTGAGCTTTACTTGTTTTTTTTTTTTTTTTTTTTTTTTGAAATTATGAACGGGCGGTGTTGGTAGATTTAATGGTTTGGTGTCTTAATGTCGACTTTTTTTTTATTTTTTTTTTATTCTAGATAAGAGGTATGGAAAATAATGAAAAACACTGATATTACTGGGATTATGTATCTCCTAGTCGGGTACCCCGACTAGATTTTTTTAATTTTCTCATCGTATAGTTTTATATAGATTCTGTTAATATTTTTTTTAACACCTACATAGATTGCCGGGACAATTTGTGCTTAGAAAAATAAACTTAAGTTAGTTCAATATTGTATTGAATTCAGCGTGTTATAGGTGGTTGTAGGTCCGTTAATTTTTACCCATCCGAAAGGTATCACTAAGTAAGAACGATATAGTGTTTCCGATTATTAATTAGCTTAAAGATTATGACATTTCAAGGACCTTAAGTAATAAGTAAATCTATATATATATATATATATATTATATTGTAGTTTCCATGCTTTACGTCTGATCACAGAATAAGGTTTGAGAAAATTATCAAAATCTTATTAAAATATATTTTTCTTTTTTAAATTACAGTGCAGCATTCTTTCATGCACAAATAGAACAGCCAATGAGAGGAATTATGTCATTAGTTAACCATAAGGATATGGAAGTATTAATGGCAGTTAACGAAAGAGGAGTTTTTATTATAGACTGTTTTGAAAATGTAAGTATGTATTTACATATAGACTATGACCATAGAATGGATATATATATCCCTAGTTACGTATTTCTGTATATGTATGCATATATAAATTAAGTGTGTGAAATGTGGAAGTTGCGCCCTCTCTTGGTCCAGCGATGGTTACGTATTTATTGCCTTTTCTGGTTCTCTGGTTGCGGAGAAATGGAAGGTGACGAGGTGTGTTCCGTTTGTAATCATTTCTGGGACATCGTCTGTACTGACCCTTGATGTGTTTTTGTTGAAAATTATAATAGGCTTCAGGGGACTTGGCTGCGTGCAGAAGGAGGCCGTGACGCTAGCGTGCAGTGCTCGTGCATAGGTGTCTTGTGCTGTTAACTCACAAACGGATGAGAATTTTGTTGTTACGTACTCGTTAACTGCTTACTAGCTGTACTCGTTATCGTTACATTCGGCTATGGTGCCATCTTGTAGAGGCAGGGTGACATGTTGGTATCTTACCGTGAAGATAGGTACTTTGATACAAATAAAACTAAGATAGGCTATGAGTTAATCATCGGACTGTAGGACTTTAATTTACGTTGCTTGGCTTCAGTTAGGCTAACTATGGGGACTTCAAGATGAATAATAGTGGAATTTATTGCATCAGCCTTAGCTAATGTAATTGCGAGTATCAAGTTTGAACATTATATTTCTCACGAAAATTATTTCATATAAATGCGGTGTGTCAACTAACTATTGATTCAAGTGTCATTATGATCGTGTTTGTAACTAGAGTCAGCTTTCCCTCAACTTCGTCATGATATTCCATTAGAATCAATTCACCTTGTCTGGCCCAGAAGTCGCAGTGAGGTTTTGTCAGCGTAAGAGCGTAAGAGCAATTTAGCTGCTCTCTAATTCTGTTTCTAATGATTGGTTCCGCTTGGTAATGCGTCCATCAAAACGTTTGAATAGCTAGTACGCATCAACGACTGATTGCCTCCATCTCAACTGACCCACCACTAAATTTTGAGACTGATTTTATTATGTCCAATGGAATATTACAATTGATCTGTGTCTTATTTACTCGCTCACATGCAGCATTAAGCGGAGTTGGAAACCTTTTTTCTTGCTAATGCTTCGCTAACAGTGGGTACTATTAATGCTCGTATCTGTCTTGCGTCCGTGGTGAAGTTCGTTTGGTTCTGTACTTGGCTAAATTCGATTGGTTGTGTACCTGGCTAATATGAGATTCTATGTTTGGGACCTCGCTATTGTTGAAATCTGTGTCTCAATCCATCGCACTTGGTTTTTATATTATTTAATAAGTCTAACCAACTCATATTTTCATGTGCATAAAACGAATCCTTAGAATGAGAATGTTTTAACTGTATTTTTTCAAGGCAAAAACGAGTGAAACATGACTATTAACATTTATTAAATTGGCTTTATGTGTTTCATATGAGACACAATTCAATTAGTTGAACCGCATAAATACGATACACAACATAAATTTATTAAAGAACTTACTCTACTTTAACTCTAATTAATGTGGGAATCCTTGTATGTGTCGTCTCTTGGTCCAGCAATGGTTACGTAATTAGTTTTTAATTTATGGATACGTATTCTTGTGACGATTATGGTGGAGGGGTTTACTGAAATATAGTACAAAATTAAATTATAGCTATACCTAAAATCTGAACTCATTTTTGGAGCAAATTGGTCAAGATTAGTGCTGTGCAAAATTCTTATACAAAGCTATTTATGTGCAATTATTAAGTGTTAACTTATATATTAACTTATATATTATATTTGTTCAGTTGGCTTGTGGCACTAATCATACAACACAAAGATGGGATATCTAGAACAAGCTATTCAATTTTAGCATTACCTTACTTCGTACTTGCTGGGTCTCTTACCTGAAGGGTCGATTATCACGAATATGGGACCTGCGTAACATTGCGCATTCTTGGACTTTATATAAGGATCGACCATTTCAGTCGAGCGTTCGATGCGCACTGGTGTTGAGGTTAATGTTTTTGTTGCTCGAACCTAAAAGCAAATACGAAGTTGGGTGGACCCAATGCACAAATTTTATGCGTTGAACAAGCTTGTTCTAGATGGCCCATCTATGTGTTTTATGGTTAGTGGTTAGTGGCAATGTCCTAGTCGGATCCGTAGCGTTTTGTTGTACTAATATTATTTTCATTGCATATATACATAGACGCTTTTATTGGGACTTCGGTATGAAGAAATGTCATGGGACTATGCTAAGCCAAGTGCCAGTGAGGATTTGGAATGCCTTACATGTATCTTCTTGCAGGTTTGTATTTTAGAATTAAGCTTGTAATCAATCATACTCGATTAAAAGAAAATAATTGTTAATTATTTTTTTTAGTTTGACACTATTGAGAATGGAATGCAGATATCTAAGCTTGTGCAAGTCTTTTCAAAACAGGCTGCAATGATTGATGCTCTTATTTCTCATTTTACGGGTCAATTGCGAAAAAAGAAACAGGATGGAAGTTCTACTGAGCAATTTCATGACGGTAAGCTACGAGTGATGACACTGAAAAACATTACTTTTCTTATGAGTAGTAGAATGGTTTAAAATATTTAAAATGTTCAAATTTGTCACATCCTCACCAAATCGATTCTGGTTCTGTACAAATTTTAGTCTATTTTGGGCATTTTTTATTTGTAATATTTGTTAGATTACACTACCTTCGTAGAAAATTAGTAGAGATTTTCAAGTAAAAGTCATGTTTCAGAGACCCTTTAGTAAAAATGGAAAATGAAAGTTAACGAGCTATGTGCAGCCGGTTTGAATGCCTATAACTTTTTTTTTTATTTTTGTATAGCTTATTTTTGTATAATTGCAATATTCCAATTAATTAACTCAATTTATAATAATAAAAAATTTTATGTTTTTAGAGCCGAACCCTATTCAAAGCACAGGCAATGGAATATTATGCAATAAACTGTCTCGATTGACTTTAGCCAGCTTTGATGAAGAAGGCCGCTGTATTGGGCAAATGGGATCATTATCTATAAGCTATTAACCTTTAATATATTATTTATATAACTTAATTGATTAAACTTAAGTGAATTAAAACGTCTTATATATGTTTGAATATTAAATGTTTAAATATTTATGTATATATATTTTGTAGATACGTGTATATAGGTAAAACTTTTAAAATAACTAAGCTGAACGGTCAACCACATTTTATTTAATTTAATTTTAATGAATTTTGAAATATTACTTTTCCCATTCATTATACCATCAGACTAACATACTTTTTGTAAATATCTTACAATATTTTAAAAAACATTTTTAAATATAAAAATTGTGATTTGATTTGATTAAACGGTAGACTAGAAGTGATCACTGTTAATATATGTATGATTAATAAAAGTTTGTAATTATTAATATCTGTAAAAATTTATTTAATTAAATTTATAGTTCTAAAACAGTGGCTGTTGTTTTAATTTTAAATTTTCCAGTGACCAAAGACCCAAGACTCAAGAAGTGCACATATTCATAATCTTACAATTATATACATTAGTATTCATTCATATCAATCTATTTTTAATAAACACGACTGATCGAATAGATAATTGAAGATTGAAGTCGTGATTGCTGGATTAATATAGCCTGAATACATACATTACAAACGACACTTGCATAAGCGTGTACAGACGCCCTCTGTTCTTGTGCTGCAGTATGGCCTATGGGAACTTGATAGTTGAATATATTTACTTCTAAGTAAATTTTCTAACTACGATTCTTATACCCTGAATACAACTGGAAATGGGAATTTATGGTATGATGTGTTTGGTAAAATGTATGTAATAGGCAGTAGGAGGCTTGTCAGATAAAGTATATATATTCTTAATCATGTCTATGAACTAGGCATGTCCGTCTGTCCGTTTGTCCGATTAATAATTTGAGTTTATTTCTTAAGCATACTTTTAAAGCTGAAGAATGTATATTTACTGTGGGGGTTTCTGCAACAGATTACTCAGATTATATTTTATAGATTATATATATATTTTGAATTTTCAAAAATAATCCCTTCTCTTTCCATTAAAATTTGTAATTTTAATTCTTCTAATGCATGTGCAATGGAATGATGGTAAGTTTCTTATAATGCTTACACTACGACCGCCGCTTAATATAATTGGGCCGATGTAGTGAGATGTTAGAACGAATGAATGACTTAAATGTCTTTACAAAAATAAATTACTTTAAGCCAATCGACTGGCTGATGCAACTTATTTTCAAAAATTGTTCATTTACGTTGACTTGTCCTCGTTGTTTCATTATTACAATTAAAATAAAAAATATAAAAAATAGTCAAGTGCATTTATTCATTCATTCAATACTTTTTGAATAGCGTTAAGGACAAACTATTACATTTCTTATGATATAACATTTTAGCTGTAAGCAAATTAAAATACACTGTATGAGAGTCCAAAAAAGTAAGCGAACTGCATTTTGAATGTTATTTAATACATTTTTGATGGTTGAGGTTGGTAAAAATGCTTTATGCAACGTTAGTCAGGTCGTCACTCTGCCTTGTGTCGGACTACGTTACTGCTTATCTTCTAAAAAGCCGCCTCTTTCTCGGACTAACTGCCTCCTTGGAACTAGAAGTTATCGCCATTAACCTTCATGGAGCACTTGAATGAGCTGAAGCAGAGCTCTGTCATCCGTGCTGCTGCATCCAGTCACTTTTAATGCCGCAAAATATTTTCAGTAAAGTCACAGTATTTTTATAAGCATCTTAGCTGTTTTCTATTTGCTTTACTATAGTCTCTACTTTGACTTTGGTGCTGCTCCATAGTTCCTCAGCTTAGTCATGTCTATTTTGTAGCCAAGTCTCAAGAATCTTTGTTAAAATCTTTGCAAAAGTTTTATCAACTTATTTTCTTTACTACATGAGAAAGCAGTCGACAGTTATTTTCTCCCGTTCTTAGATGATAACATTTTTGTTGTGTAAGTTCTAGAGCTCTTGTTAGCCTTGACCTGCATTTTATGCATACCTTATTTTTTCTTACTAAATATCTACGAATTATTCGGATCTATGAGTTTAATCTGGTATTGCAACTACGCATATCGGCCAACTGGAGGTAGCATGGTTCCGTTGGTTACTACCACTAGCCCAGTTCAAGACTCTAGAGTTAGTCGAGGACATTCCCAAGTTCACAGCTCATGCGTTGCAATCAACTGCCACTATGCAAGCTGCTGTCAAACAATTGTGTAAGTAAACTGTATATTGTAAAGTTTTACAGTTTAACTTCAAATTTAATTACTTAATTACTGTTCAGCTCGTTTATTGTTGAGGGAGTGGCAAATCGGAAAACCATATCTTCGAAAGTTTTGGAGATGACAGCGTTTAGATCGTGAATGAGTATTCTACAGTCTGTAGCGCCCGACTGCAAATTCTAATTATAAGTTGGCTTTCTAGTTCGTTCTGTTGTTTTCGAGAACATTTACGTAGCTTAGACCTCCTTTAGGTTTTTTTGTTTCTTGCTTTTCTTTTTGGTTGTCTCAATTAATTTTACTATCCTTCTGAAGTTAATGCCTCCATTTTCTATTTATTTCCAAATTTATAATATGCGATAATATGCGATAATATGCTCACGTTTGATTACTTTGGAACGCAGTAGAGCTGCGGCTGCTTAAGTGCCCGCCAAACTTCATATGGCATAACAGAGTACAATATGAAGATGTAACGTCTCAACAGAGCTGTTACTTAACTTAAAAGGTACGGAGCTCTGTTGTTTGCCTTTAAGCTGGTCAACAGTTATATTTAGATTCTTTAAGCTAACAATATAAGTATTATAATATTTTGTTTACTCTAAATGGTTTTCTATGCAGCTATTTCACGTGTAATGCTTCAGTCGGTTTTATTTTCGTGTATAATTCCTTTAACTTTTTTTACCAAAGCTCTTTTTATTGGCAAAATTAAATGGTATTGAAAAGTATTATTTGTTTCCCACTAATCCACACCATCTTTACCACTTTCATTATATTCAATATCTGCCGACTAAAGATGATGTGCAGCACTGTTAGCTTCTGTCACGATCTATGTAACTTTTTGAGTCAGGTTATCTTTAAGTCTTAAGCCAATAAGCATATCACATCATGTTTATATGTTTTTGGGATATTTTTGACACTACAACAGTTGTAGAGTAGCTGTATTGATATTCCATCAACGTGTATAATGCTTATTTATTTAGATTGTCATAAATAGGCATTACAGTTCTACCCATTATATACTTAGTTTTGAATTTTAAGGAAAAATGTATAAAGGGTTACCTTTTGTTGTGCTTAAAGTAAACACATTATTCTAATTGCTTTCCGGAGGCTAACTTATGTGCCCGCTTAACTTTTGATGGCATAACAGAGCACAATCCAAAATTGTGACGTCACAACAGAACTGTTAGTTAACATTAAAACTGCTCTTACGTAACCTATTGAGTCTGCTAATCACATTTTTGATTTGTACTCTGTTATTTCATTTGAAGAGAACAGAGAGAGGGAGAGTTTGTCCTAATAATTGTGATTCAGTTTTAATGTTAATTAACAGCTCTATAGAAGAGAAAACATTTACATTGCCAAAGTAAGCAATGTAGTGCTTAGAACCTTATGTTAACTTTATGTTAAACGTACAGCCTCAAGATCGGGGTAACCAGGAAGGATCATGTTGTCACCTGCATTGTTGTAGATCTCAAAGCGGTATGCATAACCAAAAGAATCAGAGAATTTACTTGATACCCTATTTTTGTGGCTCAGACTCCTGTACTATAGTTTGTATATTTTCACTTTCAAAAAACGATAAAGTGTCTGCATACTCTAATGCAGTTGTCAGAGCTTCTACCACATTAAAGTCTCCGCCCTCGTCGTCACTTGATGGGCATGAGTCTTCCTCATCCGATGGGACTGACTTAAACAGTTCCAGCAACTATTCATTAGACAATTCGGATAATTTGAAACGAATACGCGCAGCCATTTCATTTCCTATTTTAATTTCTAGTAAAAAAAATTGAAAGCAGCTGTGAAATAGATGCTAGCAACAAAAGTTGGCGTCAAGCCCCAAAAGTGTATCAAGGCACTTAACACTATTTCGGTGCTAAAACGCATATCTTTTATGTAATTGCTGTTCTGCAATTTTATTTTAGTAGTAAATAAACAAAACTTTCACAAAAAAAATCATGGGACAAATTGGTTTCATACTTACTTACTTGTATAATCAAAACAAAAGACAACATGCGAATGGTCAATAAATAAAATAAAAATAAAAATAACCGTTGAAAGTTCATTACAAACTCCCAAAAAATATATTAGCAATATTAGCAATTAAGTTTACTCGCTATAGCTAATAATGTAAACAGTGTCTTCAGGCACTCTTAAGTGTTAGAGGGATACGTGTACTAATAAATATTGAAGTTAGAATGAGCCTATAATTTCTTTAACATAAAACCGAAAAAGATGTAAGACCTACCGGATTATCTTGCATTAATCTGATAATACGTTTATTTAATTGTTTTAATTCTGATCGTGGACTATGACGGACTAAAGCTGGTAAGGAAATTCGTTAGTATTCGCAAGTGCAAGGATGCCTGAAGCTATTCTCTTTATAATGGCTTCTGCAGGTCGTAAGGGCTCATTCAGTCAGTACATGACCAAATGTGCATCAGATTGACATTCAAACTCGTTGCAAAAAAGTGTTTCTGATGCACATCAGAGCTTTTATATCCTTGCCACAAATAATAATGAAAATGTTTATATGTTGGATGAGAATGCAATGTATTTGAGGGAGCAGAGAGAGCTAGTAAAATAATAAAATTGTGAATGGTGAGAGTAGATTAATCAACTCTTAAAGTTCGCACGCGGCAAATAATATAGATCTTTGTTGATCGTAAATGAATACTCATAATACTATGAAGCAGGTTGAACCGAACTCTAAAGTTCTTACTTGAGTGTGCATATCGCTCGACTGGTGTGGAATCGGTTAATTACATGATAATTATTAATTGTGATTAATTGATCATTAAAAACTTTTATTTTTTTAAATGATTTTGAAATTAC